TGCTTTGGCGTGATGTTGATAGTGACTGCATTTGAGCAGTGAGGAGTGCTGTTGCATTCACTGTCTTCAAAGCATCCTTGTAGTTTCCTTTATGATCAGACCGGTACTGTTTAATGGACTGTGTCTGCTGACAATTCCAGTTTTGTTCAAATTCTGACATCAAGATCTTTGATCTTTGTTTCAGGGGAGTTATGCGGATCCAGTCCTTGTGGAGGAAAATTGTCTACATGTGTTCCCCTGAATAACACGTATATATGCCAGTGCTCGTATGGATTCTACTACTACAGCAATGATTGTTATCCAGGTGAGTTGCAGGATGGTAATCAGTATTTTTAGGTATTTCGCAGGTAACTGCTTTGGTGAAATTTTCTTTCTGTGTGACTTTTTCTCATAACTGAAAACATAATCAGTCTGGGAAAGTAACTGCTGAATAATGCCTTACTTTGCAGACAGACACTGCTACAATGACCTAGATTGTTATCTCACAAACAAGTAACAATCAAAGAGGTTAATGTGCAAGGAAAAGAAGCTGAGTTTCTGAGCGTCAGGCATTCTGGAGATCGAAATATGTGAAAAGTGGGAAAGAAATGAAAATGCAGCCCTGATATCAGTATTTATGGCCTAGATTTATAAAAACCCAAGCTTCTGCAGACTTCCAAATAGCTGGCTTGATTTTTCCTCTTTCTATACATCCATCAGAGTCCTGTTGAAACGCAACTGAGATGCTGTTGAAGTGCAAGCACATGAGCAAATGAAGCTTCTTATGTAAATGCCAGTGGGCAGGATTTCCAAATTTACTCATGAGCCTAAAGAAGGAGATAGATACTGAATTGCTTTTTTGAATGTGGTGAACCATGTTAGCTGCTTAGTGGTTGTGGCTGCAGATTTCAAGTCTTTAATGTGCGTATCTGACTTGCTAAATGCCGTAACACCTCAGAGTGTTTTGTTAGCTTTGGGCCATGCTTATAGTTTAATACTATTCAATTTCAAAGTCCTGCCAGTTTGGAATGGGTTGCCCAGAGAGATGGTAAAATCCTAAGGTGAAATCCAAATTATTGAATGTTTGCTAATAAATTGATATCCTATTTATTTATTTATTTATTTATTATTTGCAGGGAAGGTATTCCCAGGTACCGTTACACTGACACAAGCATTCGGTAATGATATTCAGGATGTAAATTCAATGGAGTATCAAAATATGGTCCAAAACATAATACAATTTGTAAGTGACTTTATTTTTTAAACTTTTCTGTGTATTTAATGTTTTTCTGAATATGGTACAGACGGAGGGGATACAAGCAGCCTTTAATGTGGAGCCTAAGGTACTTGATAAATCTACTTCTTTCAAAGAATATTTCACACTGGCTTAGGCTTATTCATGAAAGAGTTGAATTTTGCCCTCATACAACTCCAGGTATGGTTCTTGTTGAAGTGAAGGGATGTACCTGAGGTCAAACAATACCTGTGTTTTCATTGCCACTTCTCTTTTGGGAAGCCCTCATAAATTGTTCTATATCTTTAGCAATTCCCTCTCCAGAAACCACTGGGTGAAGTTAAGTTTTCTGAACTGTTTAGTTTCTGTTATCTGCTGTTAAATACCTAAGTAATAATCCTTTCTGTAAGAAAGACAGTATTAACATTTGAATTACATTAATGAAATGGATATGACACTTGCTGAGCATTCTCTGATTATAGGTAAGTTATTTTAAGGGTTTTCCCGGAGAAGTAGGATGAACTGTTTAACTCATACTGCTCTGTTGATATGAGGTCGTTTTTTCAAATTAAGAAAGAAGTAGTGCGCACCTCTGCCAGGTTTATCATTTAAATATATGATATTTATATATCATATAAAGATATCATTTATCTTTTATAGTTTCAAATCGCTTTTGAAAATATGACAGACTACAGGCAGACCATCATCGTGAAATTTAAGTAAGTCTATCACTTACGAAGTGTTTTTTCCACAGTATGTGAAGTTTGCTTTGTGTGCTTCCATTTATTTAGCTGCCAGTGGATTACTTTGTCAAAGAAAAGATATGGGTTGGACTGAGTGCTGTCTGACTGCCATTAAATGAAGTCATTCATTTGGTATTTTAAAAATTCCTACCCCACTTTTTACCCTACAGATTTCCAATAGGTGTGTGTAGTGGGCTGGCTGAGAGAGTTCCATAGAGGATCTTCCACTTTTAACACTGCATAGAATACAGCACTGTGCCAATAACTGCACAGTTTGTCCCTGTGTTATCTGGCCCTTCTGAATTCATTGCAGACATACCATGATTTATCCTCCCCGTGTTTCAGGATGGATTCTCCAAGTCTATCCTGGATGACATCACAGGCTGATAAGACCATGCAAAACTGAGGATCTAGTGGATGAAGTCCTCCACACTGCAGATGCTTTGAGGCTAACCCAGTATAAAAACATTAGTTTCAGCCCAATGGCACACAAAGGAGCTATGTCGTTAGCATTAAATTCAACAGCTTTTACTTACACGAGTCTCTTTTACATTTGGATGTAAAGGAGGATGGCCAGTAATGGATTCATGAGCAAGGATTGAACTCATTTTCTGGTGTCTTAGCAGCTACCCGCATTATGGGATGAGAGAAAGAAATCTGCTGTTGTCTTTAGGTGTAACTTGCTATCCATACATGCTGTCTGAGACTTTAAAATAATGCTTTCTGTACTTCTCAGTTATATAGAAGATGCAAACACCAGAAATGCTAAAAATCCAGTGAATGTAACAGTGATGAACATCTTCAGAGAAGGCACAACTGAGACCGATGCTGATGTTGAGAAGGCAGTAATGGCAGCAGCAGGAAATTTGAGCTACGTGAATGGGTACTCAAGTACGTAATTCCTTATTGTGGACGTAAGGTAGACACAGAGGTTCCTATCTTAAAAATTGGTAACAACACTTCTGTATGCAGCAAAGCCCATCAGAGCGTAAGTTTCTTGATTTTAAGGAGCTCAGTGTCCAAACTTAAGTGATACTGTAGACTCAAACATCCAGTGATGGGCTTTTTAGTCTTACCAAAGCTTTCTACCCCCTCTGTGGGCATGTGGAGAAAATTAGTTATTCCTAAATAAGCAATTTCATGTTGACTGTAGTTTGCTGAGCATTAAGCTTCTGGAAAATAAAAACTGGACAAAATATTCACAGACATAGATTTTACTCCTTAGAATAAGCCAATGTTTTGTTGTTGGAACAGGATGAAAATTTCCTTAGACATTCTTCTGTAATTGGCTTTATTAATTGAATTGAGCCTTTACTGATTAGCTACTCAACTAGGTGATGTTAAAACAATATCTTTCACTACAAAGAAGTGTAGTACTTAGAGAACATTTTTGTAAATGCACAGTTTTTCTCATCTTCCTTTGTCTAACATGCTCCTATTTTAAAGTTGCCTTCACAAAAGGCATAGCTAATAATTAAATGAGTCCAGTTCATGGCTTCTAGCCAGAGTTTGGACTCCAAGGTGACTGTATTCACCTGAGCCACGACATTTCCTGTATCCCAAGCATGGGGGAGAATGAGGAGCATCTGACAACTCACAAGCTACCAGCACAAGCACATCCTTCCACTGTACACTGTATGCCCACTGATTTTTAATACACACACGCACACACACACACATATATATATATATATTTTTTTTTTTTTTTAAAAGGCAAGTCAGAAAAGTATTGCTCCAAATGTGAGCTTGTGGGTAGAATTTCTTTTCCTGGAGGATAGGGCAGGAAGTTGTAGCAGGCTGACAAACACTGTGTATGAAGATGTGATCTTCACCGAAGAGCAAGGGAAAAGAAAGGATTGTTCCAGGCGACTGCAGTATTGTCCCAGAAAGGGATTTGGAAATTTTTTTCTTCAGAACTGCTAAAAAATTGGCTGATGATTTGCTGAGCGAATTCACTGCTTTTTATGAAAGTGCCCAGGTTGCTTCCTGACTGCTTCTCTTTTAAAGCTGCAACCGCGTGTGCTGTTTATCCGTGTGATGACACAACCACAACATGTGAGGATGGTGCATATCCAGTATGTGTATGTAAACCAAATTTCACAAAGACAGCGTGGGACACATATTCTTGTTCAGGTAAATGCTGCGTTACTTTATCTATCCATGAAAATCTGACCTGGTCATCTTCTGTCTTTGTCTTTCTGAACTCTCAAATGCACTGAGCTCTAAAAATCAGGGGATGTGTGTCTTATTAAGCAAACTTTAAAAACACATGCCCACATTTCATTTGGAACACATCCATAATTCTTTTCCAACAGAGCAAATCACTAAAGCTTAAGAAAATTATCACTGGAATTAGTGAGTGGATAACTATATATTCATCATTAATGATAAGAATTTACATCTAAATGAAGAAAGAGTGGAATAAACTGAAGCTTATGTTCTCAGCCTTCTCTAGTAGGATATACTTTGGAAAAAAAGCTACCTGAGGATGCTGACAGAAGTGGAAATCTAATGCTTCACTGTAGTGATCTGTTACTGTTCTGTCCCTCATTGGTTCTAGGAGTGCCTTACCTTTGCTTAGGCAGATTTTTGCAGAATGATTATTTTACGAACTGCAAATTGTTGAGTTTTTATTTGATTGCTGGTTTTGAATTTTTAAAGAGTACTATGTTTATATTTTGGCAATCCTCTACACACTGAGATGTGCTCTTATTTTCTTGTTACAAAAAATAAAACTATTCACACTTCAGGTATGATGTTTTAAGAAAAAAAAACCTGTTGCAAACACTCAGGATAAAATCATAAAATCTGGCTACAATAAAGACCAGAGGAATGCTGTGTGGTGTGGGTCTTTGGCTCCTAACTTGTCTACGTGTGATCCATTTAGATCATTTGCTGTATAGATCATGCACTGTGATGTCAGCCTGCAGGATTATTGGATTGCCAGTATGAGATGCAACCCAGTGAGATTCCAGTTCTGAACTATCAACCTGGATGTTTTGAGCAAGAGCTATTTACTTCTAATTTTGTGCTTTAATATTTCAGATTCTGCTCTACATACATATAACCCTAAAAACGCTGTGCTGGTGCATTGATGCACAACAAAGTTGTGCGTGCATTTACCTTGAGGAAAAAGAGAAGGGAAAAAGAGGAGAGGGGTGTGTCTGGAACTCACCCCAGATTTTATCTATGAGGAGAAAATAGAAACGCTTCCAAGATGTGCTCAAGGTTGATTTTTGCAGGGCTATATTCAATTCACTCTGTGTTTTTCCTTCTGATAATACAGATTGCGTGAACTGTACAGAAGAAGAAAACATGTTCTGTGACAGACAAAATGGCGTTCCAGACTGCAAATGCATGGATAACTTTAAAAAAGAGGGTGAAAAATGTGTAAGGTAAGTATTCAGTTTTTCCCTCATGTTCCTGTGTTCTTGGTAAAGATAGAGAAGAACAGCTAAAACAGGGTTACCCTCAATCTAGAAGATCAACCTGCAGCTGAGGCGACTAACAGGTAGGCAGATCCCCACAGTATCACAGGTTATGGTGATTAGTTGGCATGCACATTTAATACCGTAGAGCAAAGTCAAGGAGGACCTCCCATTTTGAGGGATACCCCATAAATATACACTATTCCTTCTGACGTAACTGAGCCACAGGAACTGCTACTCTGAAGCGTACTGAAAGCAACAAGCAATAGTGCAAGAATTGCCTTAAATCCCTGGAAAATTTCCTCTGGTACCAGTGGGTATTCTGCTCCCTGCTAAGTTTCAGGCCTATGTGATTTTGTCTTGTTTTTCTTCCTGTGGGTATTGCTGGCAGCTCGGGATCAGAACAGAGCAGTGTTGTTTGCTGGTGAAGCTGAGTAGGTCTAGGTCACCAGGTGGGCTCTGCTCCCATGGATAGGCAGTGGCACCTCATTCCCCAGGTCTGTTAATTCGGCCCTTTTTGCTGAAGTCCAGCTGCCAGTCCTGTACTTTTCACTGCGTGTTGCAGTTCCAAGTGGCATAGAAATGCAGGGCTTTGTTCCTTGGAGAAATTAGTCCCTCTTAACACTTTCCCAGGCTGAGAACCTGAAACTTTGAGTGTGCAGCTCACTAATCATTCAGAAAAATCTCAGATTGTTTTCCTCTAAAAACAAAACAATTTAATATTGAGACAGAATCAAAGAAGAAACCTGTGATGGCTGCACCTTGCTGAAATTTCTGATAACGTGTGAAAATACACTATTCTTTTGTGATCCTCTGCTGAACGACATTATGTTGTGTTTTTTTTTTTTACCTCTCACATAGGTGTCCAGTGGGCTACTCTGGAGAAGACTGTCAGAATAGTAAGTACAGCATGGAAAAATAACAAGTAATGTTTAACCTGCCCGAGATAACAAAAATGACAAGTAGCAGCCTTGAAAAGGATTAGTAAAATTCCACTGTGCTTGGAAGGATAATTCCTTGAATTTCATGTTCAGACAAACAGTAGCATTTTCTCTAATGAGATCTGCATTAAGCCCAATAGCTTTCAGTAAAACACGGGATATTAGCAAAGCTGGTTTTTGTTTGTGCTTTAGCTTGCAAGCACTGCGTAGTATCTAGTATCCTATGCTGGTAAGATGGCCCCATATGTGTCATCAGAAATGGGACAAGCAAACCAGACTGGACTTCCAAAGCTTTTTCCATTTACTGAGTCTGTTTTACAGCTGTTCTCTGCACCTTCCAGAGACTCTCTGTTGTATAAATCGAGACATCTTTCATCCCTGCTAGTGATTACAGGTGCCTAATCTCAGAGCATCTATCACAGTCAAATGCAGATGGAAAAACAAGTATTTGTGGTTCTTTGCTTCCACAATGACTTGGTGTTGTTTAAGCAGAAAGTATATCCTTGTGCTGCCTCTTGGCAGATTCTTACACTGCTGAATCCTTAAACTTGTAAATGTTTAACATCCTTGTATTTGCAGGTACAAGATCTTCAAGCCTTTGTTTTATGCCTAAAAATGTTGTAAACTGGCTAATGGTAATAGTACTGCACAGAGTAACTCACCAGGTGTAAACGCTTGACAGGAAGGATATTGTAATGCCATGGAACGTGTTTTCTGACAAAGCTTTGGAAATCTTCATGCCTTGTTTGTAAAACAGATTAAAATACTAAATATGTAGAAGATCAGCACACACATTGGGAATTCAAACACAGATTTAAGACCCTTTAGTAATAAATTCCATGAATAACCCAGACTTCCTCATGTGGCACTTGGTGTGCACTAATGTTTGCTGAGCATTAATCAAGGATACGTTACACCTGTGTCTGGCACAACATTCTTTGGAGAAACCATGCTCCCTGTTGTCTTCTTGTATGCCCCCACTGTGATTGAATGTGCCAGATTGCTCTGCTGGTCATGGCACAGTTGTTGGTTTAATGTTGTACATCTGCTGCACACGTGCATTCTTTGTCCACATCAACAGCTGTACTAAGGCAGCATCAGGAATCTTGGAATGAATTGCATCTTTTTTTTCATTCTTTAATTGCAAAGGGAGAGAAACAGGATTTGGTCTTCAGTATTTGCCACGAGTTCTCAATTGTTTTTTTTTTTTTTTTTTTTTTTTTTTTTTTTCAGATAAAGAACTCATCCTTATAATAGTGGGCACAGTGTTTGGAGTCATTATCTTGTGTTTAGTGGCAGCAGTCTCAATTGTTTCAGTAAGGTAAGACTATTTCTGACAACTGAACGAAAGCTCCATTGCTGCATGTTCCTAGAGAACAAAGGAGAAAATTAGAAAGAGTCAGGGTCGCAAATGTGGTTGCATGCCTAGCTGGGCAGACTAGTTCATCTAAGTCATGCAGCCAATAGGATATGCTTTCATCCATGTACACTCCCTAGAATTATTTGTTATTTTTCTGTGAATGAAACCACGCAAGCTTCAGCACCTTTCCTGCCTTTCTTCTCATTGCTTTCCAGGTAAGGATTCCCAGAAGGCCTCATAGCCTTGTGGCATAGGTCACTCACAGGAGGCATAGGTCACCAGCAAGTGCACAAGCTGGTGCTGAGCTCATGTGTGAGGTATGGGCTTGTGATTACAGACAATTCAAATTCATAATTTGAGCTTGAAGCTTCAGCTGCAGGCAGGAAGGCAGCTTTTCTAAACTAGATATAAAGGATGTCTTATTTCCTCCTCTCAACAGTCAATTAGGGCTAGTGGTGATCAAGGAGCCTCCATCAATCAGACGGAAGAGATCAATGTTCTCTGTCTCTTTTTGCAGCTTATCCCCATCTGTGATAAGAGATGCTAAACTTTGCACTCTGTCACTGACAACTAGGTGTTTTACAATATGTATGATAGAAAAATCCAGGGCATGTTTGAGAACAGGACTGGGCATTCAAAACAAGATGGAGAGGGCAACTGAATAGGTAAAGATTCCTTTCTTCTTCTATTTCCTCTTGAAGAGCCAAGCACAGTCATGATCCGGAGAAAAAGAGGTTGATAAAGCCAAGAAATTCCAACTCAAATATCTCTGAGGAGACCAGGATCTTCCCCAGGGTCCAGACCACTTCTGGCCATGTGAACCCAGGATATCAGCCAAACAACCCTTACGAGGTGGATTCCTCAAACAGAGGTGTCTTTGTGGAGAAAAATTACGATGACTTGGTAAGTGTTTCACACAGGCGTACAGGAACTGTGTTCCTGGACTGTAATGCTGTGGGCTACTGATGTTGCCAAAACTAAAGCTCCACTCTTGTCCATCCTATTATAAAGATAGCACACATCCCATTAATACTTTTTTAAAATCCTAGAGGTCATTCTTGAATCATGGGAGGCACGTGTGAAAGCAAAAGTTAAAACAGTCTGGCTGCTCACAGATTTGCTGTGTCATAGGACCACAATAGAAGCAACACAGAAACCTGATATTTACAGAATCACAGAATGGCCAGGGTTGGTAGGGACCTCATGATCATGAATTTCCACCCCCTGCCACATGCAGGGCCATCAACCTCTCCATTTGATACCAGACCAGGCTGCCCAGGGCCCCATCCTATCTGCCTTATGGGGCATCCACAACCTCTCTGGTCAGCCTGTTCCAGCACCTCACCACTCTCTCTGTAAAGAAGTTAAAAGAGTTTAAATATTTAAAAGAGAGCTTTTAAAAAGCAACCAATGGGGAAAAAAAAAAAAAAATTAGCACCTATACAGTTATTTAATTGATCAGATTCACATCAATTTGGGCTTTTCCAGCTTCCCAAAGATATCAAATTTTCACTGATGAAAGTCTGTCTGTAAAATACATTTGGTTTTCCATGAGGGCTTAGAGAGAGGGTCACCATATGCTGTGTGATACTTCCTGAACTAATATGAGAAAGGAGCTTTCTGACCAACAACCTCTTTTTTTTTCTCAAGTATGAAATATCGCGGCGGCCTGAGGACTTTCAGATGCAGCGCAGATAACTAAGTGGCCAGTAGTAGAGGGATGGACGACAACCACAGCACTGGGTCAGACCAAAGAGCTTCACAGCCTCTTACCAGCACAGTTATTTCATCAGCAGAGACAATGGAGTCCATAGTACAGGATTCTGAAGATTTTCTAAAAGAAGATTCCTACTTGAAGAGAAGGGCAGTAACTCTTTGAAATAAGGGACAATAAAAATAAAGCAGAGTGTAGGGAGAAGGAGACTTCCAAAAAGCTAAAATGGTCCTGTGGCCATTCCTATGAACTTTCAATGGACCAGAGCATTGGCAAATAAGTGAATGTAGACAAGATACCAGGATTTTAACGCAGCTGTGTTTCAGTTCTTCTGAAAGATGGTCCGTGCAATGTGTGTGATGCTGGAAATGCCAGCTGCCAGAGCTTTGCCTACATTTGTGCTCACTTGCTTCAGGCAGAGGCGTATCAAACAGTATCGAAACTTTTGTGAGAACCTAGCGTTGTTCTCTTTACTATATCAGTCTTTCTCCCTTCCTCAGCCCCCCCATTATTTTCTATCTGAAAGCATTCAGTTCAGATCTCTGCTGGCAACTGTTGTGAGAGACAACCCTGTCTGACCTCTTGGGTGGCCTTCCTTCCCAATACAACTCCAGAAACTATTATCTTCAAACCAGCACTGTTGTTCTCCATCTCATGCAAATACGTTGATTTTACATTCTCAGCTACTGTGGAAAGAACTGGCACTTTTTTTTTCTCTTTTAATCTGTAAGATTAAATGGAATCATCTTAAACCTTTCTTTTTCATTACTTCATAATTCTGTTTAAAAATCATGGAGACCTAAAAAACATTTAATGGAGAATACATGTGCATCATCTTTTGACTGGCGTTGGCACTTCTTTATACATATATATATAGAGAGAGAGAATATAATGTCCAAAAATGTACATATATTTATAGATTATATTCATTTAAAGCATCATTTAATCTCATGTTTTATGGTTGTTGTTGGTTTTTTGTTGTTTTTTTCATATATGCCGGTTAATATTTCCTATTAAATATTATCGTTCTTCAGTATGAAGGCTTTCTTACATTGCTGCCCAGCAGTGTTATTTGCAAGTTCAAAGACTATTTTAGGCTGAAAGCTGTGCAAGTTACAACTTTACAAGTAGCCTGGTGAGAAAGGGGCAGGTTTCTCTGTGTTGCTTTTCTGGGTTTTCACAGTAAACTGGCAGAGCTGCTCTCTTCTAGATGTTGTTGCCATCTTTGCCTGCAGGAAACAGGTTCTGGTGGCCTGGGCCTCTCTGCACTGGCTGTGCGCATCTCAGTGTGTACAACGTGGCTTTTCCTCTGTGCAAGCAGAGCTCACAGGATTTAGCTATTTTTGACATGTTATTCAAAGGACGGTAGAAATTTGATCTTATTTTTTCAACTTTTCTTCTGAGTATGCTTTTTTCCTGATTTTTCGTGGGGGCTTCAAGGGGGTGAGGTACTGATGAACAGATGTGATGCAGAGACAGCAAATGGCAAGCAATCATTAAGGTCAGCATAGGCTTTGCTTTGTTCAGCCAATTTCTTTTGCTTGGACGTCTCCTCCTTGTCCTTGGTGATTTAACAAACAGATTTATTTGCATCAGAAGTAACAGTTCATGTACCTTGGCCTATCACTGGGACAAAATTCCCATTTCCACAGCTTAGTGCTTAGAGGATCCCTTAAAACACCTGTGACAGGAGCCTGCTGCTCTACATGAGGAGGTTTTAGTGTTCTCTCTTACCCTGTTGGGAGGCAAAGCTCAACAATAACCACAACGCAATGCTGTAAAACTTCAGTGAGGGTAAGATATGTAGAAATTCAGTGCCACTGATAGTAGAAGTGGCAAAATAGTCAGGTGTTTGTGTCACTTAACTGCTGAGGAGTTATCACTGCTCCTGTTCAAAGCTGGTTTCTGCAGCTCGGCCAGTTCCAATAGCTTGTGCTAGGGAGGGGCCTCAGATACTGGAATGGACGTTATTGCTCTTTAACATTTCAAAGGCTGAGAGAGCTACTTTGTCAGCACTAAAATTCTGTACTGAAACTGCAAACTCTCAGATACTTCACTTCTTCTCTTTGAATTGTGTAATTCTGCTGTGAAATATGAACATGGAAAATGGCCCTTAGAGGTGTTTTGGGACTCCTACCTGTTGCATGCATTTTTCCGTCTGCATGTCCTCCAAATCCAGATGGGTACTGGAGAAACCCTCACCCTACAGCTTGAGAGGAGTTGTGCTGCAAGCAGAGCAAAGTCTCCAGGGATGTCCTGGCCTTTCCCACTCTCCTGCTCTTCTGCGACATGGGGTGTCCTGTTGTGTCCCCTAGTCTGCCACCTGCTTTTGTCCTAGACTGAGAGTGACACTGGAGAAATTTATTGGCATATCTGCACAGGGAATGCTAAATAGAGGAGTCAGGGACTGTAGGCTTGTATGGATGTATTGGGTCTCTTAGGTCATGTGTTATGCTGACTCTGTTTGGAGACACTTGGGTACAGTTAGGGGATGCAGGATAGTCAGATAGAGGCGCCGTGTTGTGGATGGCTGTGGTCTGAGAGCCTGGACCTGAACAGCTGCCTTACAGGAGGATGGGATGTGATAGGATGGGGGTAGTGATGGGTTGAACTGCTTGAGGCTGCAACCAGCCTTGAAAATGAGCCGTAAGAACCTGTGCCCAAGCACTCCCTAGCACCCTGACTTTCACTTTAGGACAAAAGATGATGGCCTTATGTTGCAGTAGGGGAGGTCCCGTTTGGATTTTAGGAAAGATTTCTTTCTTTTTTCACAAAGAGCTGTGAGGCACTGGCACAGGCTGTACAGGGAGAGGGTGAAGTCACCATTTCTGGAGGTGTTCAAGAACTGTGGAGAAGTGGCACTCAGGGATGTGGATGGGGATGATTGTATGTGAAAAGTAGTTCCTTTCAGGCCTGGGAGCAGGAAGCACTTTGCATTTTTCTAACTTTCTGCTGGTGAAAAAGCACCTTGTTTACTTTATGAGGCTGGTTTTACACCGATACTGCATGTGATGATCCAGGCTGCTGTCACTAGCTGGTTAGGGTGAACAATAAAGATAAGGCGGTTCCCCAGAGCCTTGATTTTCACTCCTCTACTTTCTTTGACCTCAGCTGCTCGTTGTTTTGTGGATGAACTCTAGCACTCTTTCCACCTGAAGGAACAACAGACATTTTTTCAGCCTTTATTTCCCGTTATTTGTGACCTATGTGCCTTGTGGCCTTCCTTGTTCTTAGACTACTGCTTTTAGGGCCTGGTTTAGGTTGTTGTTGATTTTTTTTTTTTTTAACTAATTTCTGCACAAGTCTGTATGTTTAGCTTTTGCTCCCCAATCCTGGATTAAGTCAATTAATTTCTCTTGGGCCCCTGGTCAAAGCTGCTCCATTTGCAAACACTGGACACAAGGCTAAAAAAAGAATTCATTAAGCGCCTTGTGAAGGATGCTCCAACTGCTGGTAAAATACTGCTCTGGAGAAAGGTTTTGCATCAGGGGGAGGTGGGCATGGAACAGCTCCCCAGAGCAGTGGGTACGGCCCAAACTGCTGGTGTTCAAAGAGCATCTGGACGCCACTCTCAGACACAGGATTTGAATTTTGGGTGGTCCTGCATGGAGCCAGGAGTTGGGCTTGATATTCTTTATAGGTCCCTTCCAACTTGGGATATTCCATGGTTCTGTTTTTGCTGCTAGAGATGCTGGGAGCTTCCCACATCCCCCATAGTCTTTGCAGTGGGTTTGCTGGATGAGCTGGCTCAGCAGGAAGTAAATAGGGAATGAAGGGAAGAGACAGTAGGAGTAAAGGAAAGTCACTGAAGTAAATAAGTAACGAGAGAAATAAGATCAAACAGACATTGTGGTTGTTAATAAATGACCCATACCCAGTGTCATGGTCTCAAGCGATGCAAAGGAAGGGTGCGGCCAGCAGCATGGGGATATTGCACCCAATACTGAGCCATCGGTGACAGGTTCTGACAGCACTGACATGGACAGCAGCCAAACAGCTTCCAGAAGTGCTCAAAGTTACAGGAGATCTGAGCAAAGTAGGCAGAAAAAAAACCAACAAAAAATGGAGCAAGTCCCCAGGCCCTGGGCACTCTCTCCATGGCACCCACCCAATGCTGCTGGGATTTGCCAGGAAAAAAAGAGACTTTTCTCCACTCTCTGTCCAATAGGACAAGAGGTGATGGCCTTCAGTTGTGCCAGGGGAGGTTCAGGTTGCATATTAGGAAAAACTTCTTCTCAGAAAGAATGGTGATGCAGTGGTAAAGGTGCCCTGGGGGGGTGGGGTAGGAACCTTTCCTGAAGGTGTTCAAGAGCCATGTAGATGTGGCACTGAGGGATGTGGTCTGAGTAGGAGCAGACATGAGCTGATGGTTGGACTGGATGATCAAATTGGTCTTTTCAACCTTAATGATCCTATGCTTTTATGATCTGAAACTTTAATATCTGTTGACACCTGGAAGGACATTTATCTCAGCAGGTTTCTCAGTCTGGCCATTGCTTGAGAAAGGTGCTCTGCCTCCCTGTCCCCCAGGCTCTTGCTGGGTGTCACTGCCACCTGCCTTGTGCCCTCTGACACCACCTGGTTAAACATTAGTGAACTTCAGCCTATGCTTTAGTCATGCATAACGAGGTGTAGGTGGGAGAAAAAAAGTCTGCTGCATAAGCAAGACTTTGGAATAAAGACTTCCTCCAAAATCTGCAGTCTACAGAGGCCCTTTTTCAGGCCTGATTAACCAAACTAGGGATATACTTTAACAGGCAGGCAGGGCAGCAGGGATGAACAAGCCTCCAGGCTGTTGCTTTACTCATTCTGCAGCTTGGTGGAGTCCTTGCCACAAGATGGTGCTGACTCTTCACAGTTACAAGAAAGGCCACAGAAATGCAAAACCTTTTAATCAGCTGTGTCAGCTGGGGCTAACCATTAGCAGGCACAGCATGCTGCTGATTTTAACCCTCTCCTGCACCCCAGCCTTGGGGACCCCGATGCCCATTCCATTAATGAGCTCCTTAACCTCAGGGATGGAGACATATTTCTCAGGGTGGCCACAGAGACCTTTATCACCTGTCAGATCAGTACTTCAGTAACCCCTCCATAAAAAGCTATTCAGGCAGCCAGATGCCCCTCAGCCTGCCCATCTTCCCCACACTGCACCTAAATGTGCAGTGTTACATCAAAAGTTGGATCCACTGGCACTGTTTGAAGGACTGACGTTGATGCACTTGGCTCTTCTGGGGGCATCTTGCTCTTTTAAGGGTGTGAGAATGATCTCCTCCATATACCTCCCTCATTTCCCAGCCCATCAGCTCCAGGCTTGCCCATGGAAAGTAAGAATGTGAAGATACAAGGTTCCCCAGTTGAGCTATCCCATGAGGAAGGGACACCTGTGTCCAGAATTTATTGTGCTCCTAGGTGGCAGAAGTCTGACAGGTGGGAGGTAAAGCACTCAGTTGATCACCCAGCAGCAAAAGGAGGGGCTTGCTTTTTGGCTGCCCCAGATATACCAAGGATGCCAAAATATGGTTTAGATAAGGAGTTAAGAGGAGGAAAACAGGCATTGAAGCGATTGCAGCTCAAGCACCAGCTGGCAGCCCTCACTTGTTGCCATGTAATTGCATGGTGAGCACTTCGTGGGATACCCACTGAGGGATGGTTTGAGGCACAGAGATTTATTCTGAACCCTTTTTTGTTTGTTTGTTTGTTTGTTTAATTTATATGCAAGAGAGGGACAAAACTCGAAAACGAGTTTTCAGGTGCACTCCTCTGCTGCCCTGCATTTCTGCAATGTTTCCTCTCAGCAGCAGGGAGTGCTGGTGTTGCTCTTCAGTAGCAAAACACTGACGCTGGTCCTCAGATGGTAAATGCGTATATATTTAAAGGAAGTAGCAGCATGAGCAGCATCATTAGCTGTAGAACACGCTGTTTAAGAAAGAACAAAATTCACGATGGTTTTTTTTGTTGCTGTTTTTGTTTTTTTTTGCACGTGATTTTTGCCTATTGCTGCCATCTGACATGGATGTTGTATGAATTGGAATTTGTTGTAGATTCCATGCAAAAAGCAGGAGACAAACCATTACATCGCTGTAGGGAAGCCCTGTTGGGAAGGCAAAGCCCACTGTGTTTGTCTGCACTCCCACCTCCATAGCATGATCAGGTCCTACCTATGGGGACCACCATTCTATTTGGAGAGGTGAAAAAAGAGGGGTCAGCTTTGGGAAACCTACAATGTCTTCAATGATATGGGGTTATCTAGACATGAATCAGATGCTTTTATCCACCCTTCCTGCCACATAAGGGACATATGACAATGAAAACATATCTTTAATACACCCAAAGTATCATCGATAAACCACTTTATTTGTTTTGCCTGATAACCAAAGAACTGACTTGTAATTACCTCACTTGTAAGATACACTGGATTGCATCCTACTTGCACCACACTTTAAAATGCAAGTGATAAGAAAGCAAGCACAAAGATCAGGGCTTTCTAACCAGCTGTTTCCTGTCTCCCATCCAGCAGAACTGGGTGATGATACAAACCAAGCTCATGGGACTCCATGGCCCCTAAATTCTTGAAGGAAGTAGAGAGGTCTCAGTCCCCTGGATTGAGTAATCCCTCAATTGAATTGGCACGTTGTAAGCAGGGGAGAAAAGATATGGGCTGTGTCTGAAGATCAAAGCTGATGAAGCCCTTCTTCAGGCTCCCACCCCAAAATTGTAGAATTTAAGAATGATGTGGATTGGAAGGGACATCAAAGACCATTTAGTTCTAACCCCCTGCTGCAGGACAAGGTTGCCAACCACCAGAGAAGGCACTTGATCAGGTTGCCCAGGGCCCCATCCAACCTGGCCTTCTTTGTATGATGCCTTTGTTGTTGATAACCTTGTTAATATACCAAGTCTGTTTTCTTGGAAACCCAACAGGAAGATGAAGGCCTCACACGGTTTTGCTCCCAGAAGCCCTTCAGAGCAGCTACAACACTTCTTGCTCTGCACATGAGGGTGGAAGTGCAGTGCTGGCTTTGGAGAAGGATATCAAGGTAGGCAAGGGATGAGGGACCCTCACTCTTTAGAATGAGATGAGTGCAGCTCTCTCATACTGTCCATATATGTTTGCAACCATGTGCACTTGTGTGTGGTTACAGAAAGGTAAGGAGGATATGCTGTGGGAAATGCTGTTCTGTGTACATCAGAAGAATGCTGCAGCCATGCCAGGTTGTTACTGCCCCAGGACGGCTTTGGTGAAATCCAAACCTGGTGTGGCACAGCGGTCTGGAGATGCTGAAGAAACCAGCAGTGCATATGAAGTCATGGGGACTGAGGATGTGTGTCAATCAAACGTAAAGGTAAGATCCAGTAGATATGCTGTTCAATTGGCATGAAGGTCTGCAGGCCACTGGTAGTAGCTGTTGCTATTAACTACCTTTGGAATCAGCCATCGGCTTGACAGCTGATTTATGATTTGTTTTAAAAGCAGGAGCAGAGCCTGCCAGCAGTCCAAACACTGCCATAAATCCTCCGTTCCCCTTAGATCTGAAGTGTCCATGTCCCATCGAGCTGGGGACAGACCCAGAGCTGGAGGGCGGGCACAGCCCGGCTCACAGCCCTTCGCCAGATGGACGCTGTTTGTGTGGCAAAAGTGGCTGAAGCAGGAAAATGCCACGTAACAGGGGGCAGTGAACTGGAGGGAATGCGTGCCAGCCCGGCAGCAAGCAGGCGCGGAGATCGGTGTGCCCGTGCTGCAGATGCATGTGTGCATATATGTGTGTGCACGTGGCTGTGTCCGGGTGTGACAGTGTACATCACAGAACGACTTGAGTTAGCAGGGACCTTAAAGACCATCTGGTTCCAGCTGTGCACAGAGCTGCCATCCACTACATGCCTGTGCCTCTGCGTGTGTGCATGCGTTTCTGCGAGCTCCACACGGAGGTGTGCGTGCATCAACCCGAGCGTACATGCACGCATGTATACATTTGCACGTGGATGCCTGCACGTGCATGCGCGACACGCGCACGTGTGCACGCACATGCGAGCACGCACGTACACATTTACACCAGTGCGGCCCCTTGCACAACCACGCGCACGAGCCCGTGCGATCCCCCGCCGCCCCGCTCCACTCCCCGGCTCCGGGCTCCGCCTCCCCGCTCCGTACCCCGGCCCGAGCGCGGCCGAGCGGCGGCACCAGCGGCGGGCGGACCCCGGCCGCTCCCCGTTGCCCGCCCCGGGCAGCCCCAGCGCCGCCCCCGCCGCCTCCTCCTCCTCCTCCTCCACCGCCGCCGCCGCCGCCGCTGCTGCGGCCGCACAAAAGGCGGCGGGGAGGGAGGGAGGCCCGGCGGGAAGGGCAGCCTCGGCCGCCCGCACCATGCCCCGCCGAGGGGGGCTGCCGGCCCCAGCCGCCGCCCGCCGGCCCCCCCCGCTCCTCCGCCTCCTCCTCCGCCTCCTCCTCCTGGCCGCCCCGCTGCAGCCCGGCAGAGGTAAGGGCCCCCGAGCCGCCGCCGCGCGTTGCGACTCGGAGTTAACTTTCTTTTGCTCTGCTCTGCTCTGCGTTCCCCTCCTCTGGCCGGCTTCATCAACCCCGCTTCCATGTCTGCCCGGTGCGTGCCACTGAGGCGGGGCTGTGCCCGCGTCCCTGTGCGGCGATCTCCGTGAGAGCCCCTCCCGGTGCTTCTGCTGGCGCCGGTCCTCCGCGGGGTCCCGAGCTCCTCGAATCCCGTTGTGCCGCTGTAATCGCATCGGGGCACCGCAGAACGGATTGTGTTGAACCTGATCCCGTCCAACCTGGCCCTGGGCACCTCCAGGGATGGGGCATCCTCAGCATAACTAAAACGATTCTTTTCTCGTACATAGCTGGGTGAAGCATAGAGCGTATCGCTTTTCTCCTCCACAGCAAGCCACTGCATTCATCCCGCAGTTTGAGGAGCTGCCCGGACGGGGTTTTCTTGCAAAACAGGTTTAAAATGCGGTCTGATTGCCCGGAGCATCTTCATGAGTAAAACCGGTGTACCTTTCGTGAGGGATTCCCATCTTGCTCTGCATCATTGGTGTCATTATTAAAATCTCGGCAGCCCGCTGAGATGTGCTGCCTTCCCCTGCTCACTGGGGCCCCTGTGGCTCTGTCCGAGGGCAGGATGGGCCCAGAGGTGCTGTCTGAACCTGCTGGGTCCTTCTCACAATGCAGTTGGTGTTTAGGAGCTGTGGCATCAGGGCAGATGTGTACACGGAGTGCAGCTTGGCAGTATAGGGGGTGGATTATCATCCTCCAGAGTAATCCCAGTTAAATCCTGGGTGGAATTTTGTGCACTACGTCAAGTTTAGTGGAAAGGAGTGGTTTTGTTAATTGGGTGGAGGGGGCTGAGTTTCTTTTCCTTGCCCAGTAGATGAGCACAGGCATCCTCAGCTCCTTCCTTTGCCTGGTTCCAGCATGTGATCCAGCATGAAAATCTGCACCAAACTGGGCACTGCTCTGAACTGAGTGCAGCAAAGATCATCACTGGGAAAGCGTTGCATCTTTGTGCTCCAGCTCAGAAAGCTCAGCTTGCACTCCCAGTACAGCAGCTTAATAAAGCTGAATTTTCATAACAGTGCTAGAGATGTTTTGGTTTTGCTCCGAAGTGGGGAAAAGAACCCCAATAAATGCCCCTGGGAGGAATGTCCCATGGAGAGCTGTGCCACTGTCAGCCTTTGGTTGTGGCACCCAATGGACCAGAGAAGACCTGGGTTTTCATTCAGACTCCACTGTGGCCAAGTGGCCATGTGGCCAAACATTCTGAAATCCAGCAGTCAGGAACAGAGGTAAATGCTGTCCTATTTCCAGGTGAATGGGCAGGGAAACCTGCTGGGTAGCTGGAGTGCAACGATTTCCTTCAGAGAGGGGATTTGGAAAGGCTTTGGTCTGTGCTGGAAGCCATTGCAGCTGTAGGGCTCGGGAGTGTGAGTGTTAATCTCCCTGCGTGCTACAGCTGCTGAATAAGCTATGTTTTGCTTTCTGTTACATCTTTATACTTAGAACCCTCACAGTGCCCAGGAGCTGAAACACAACTCTATGTGAACAAGGAATGAGACGCATGGGTATGTGCTAACGGTCAGCAAGAAAAAAATTAATAAGCCCCTTGTTCAGCCCACAGGAAAGCCAGCAGCCTGCCTGAATGAAAGCCATACAGCCAGCACAGCTCCGCAGCCCGCGCTGGGCTAAACCACCTGGCAGGACATAGCCAGCCTCAGTGCAGGGCTGGGTCATGCCATAGGGCTGGCTTTGGAGCAGGGACAGCAATGCTTGTCATTCTGCTGCATGCTTGGGCAGGTCTTTGCCCCAGGACAAAAACCTGCATGGTTCTGCAGCCATCAGTGAGTCTGCACTGTCTGCACATGGCATCCTGCAGTACTTGTAGCCCTCCGAAAATAGAGGCTGGACAGTGCTCTTATTGACATCCGGGAGGGAAAAGAATAGCAGGCTCCCTGTTCACGCCCAAGGCATTTTGTTGAGAGTCTGCAGCCCCTGGGCTGAAAATCAGTTTAATTATGTATTGACAGTGGATGTTAAGCCGGGAAACCGGGCGGCTGGGGCATCAGTGCCATTGAAGGGCACATTCCTGGCCCCAGGCTTGGTTAAACAAACTGCTGTATTCAGAGCCCTGTGCCATTGACGTTTTAGTTTAACTTGCACCATTCTGCTTTATTTTGAAATCCTCTCCCAGCCCAGATGCTGGATGTTTGTAGATGGGAATAGCTGTGTACCCAGAGCAGAAAGCAGTGTCTCTGGTTGGCAGCACAGAGCCCCGCTGATGGTGTGTCCATTGGACAGGCCAGCCGGGTATCTCGGGGAAGTGAATCCTGTCATAAATTAAAGCAGTTTGTTGTGACTGCATTCAGCTGTGGGAATCATCAATGGGGAAGTGGATATCTTCTAGGGCTGCATTAAGATGGAAATGCTGGCAGGGAGCTGGGTGTGCCTACTGTGACTTTAAAGTCAGCATCTTAGGGGTTTAGGGACAGCCACCTTTGGGCCAATGGCACAGCTACTGCATTGTCAGCATGTTATTTCCTTCTTTGATTAACCAGACATCATTGAAAAAGAGGGAAGAGTAATCTCTAGAATCGTATTTCAGTGGTTCTCAGCTGCCCCAAAACCAATTTCTGTCCTTTTTAAATATTTCTTGGGGAAGGAAAAGAAACCAAGACCTGCATACTGAATAGGAGTCCCAGCCTTTTAGTGTGGGAGGTTCTTTGCTCATGACACCAAACTTGCAGTGTATTTAGCTCAGCCCACCCCATTCTCTGTCCTTTCTTGTTGAAGGTCTCAACCTGTGCACGAGTGGAAGCGCCTCATCCTGCGAAGAGTGTCTCCTCATCCATCCCAAGTGTGCTTGGTGCTCCAAAGAGGTACGTTCCTTCTTCTGCTCCTTCAGCTGTCTCCCACTCTGCATGGGGCACTGTCACTGCATGGGCTCAGTTGCAGGGAGCCTTGCTGGAAAGCACTCTGCCCTGGCTGCCATCCCAGTACGTGCTGCATGGCCTGCAACAGAGGTAAATCCCCTCTGTGAGTCTGCCGTGTTGTTTCAGGAGACTGCCGGTGCTTCTAGTGTCTGCACCGATGACAATGAGCTGTGCAGTTTGCCAGCATGCTTTGCAGCAAAAATGCATCCTTATGTTTTGGATATCTTGTAGTCTGAAATCATCTCCCCTTGTTAAATAGAGTGGTTCAATTGGAAGAGGCCTACAAAGATCATTGCGTCCAACTGCCTGACTGCTGCACAGCTGCAGCTGTCCAAGGAAAGCATCTTCGTGCTGCTGTAGTATTACATTACCTGACAGAAGAATAACTCCTGTGCTTTTTTTTTTTCCTTCCCAGGAGGATGAGTGATGCATAGAAGGCAAAGGGAAAGGATAAAACAGTAGATCTTGCTTTTGAGACATCTTGTAAACAGCTGTAGAAGTTCCTGTTCCAGGCAGCTAATCTGCAGTGTGATATTGCATCCAGGAGTGCTGGCTATCACTTATGGGTACCCAATAGTTTGCCTTTAAATATATCAAATTCTTGGCATCAAAAGACAAGTTTTACAAATGCTGCCAGCGGAAATGTTGATCTGGTGGTCACTACGACCACTAATAGTACCACTAATAGTACGTCAGCCTGTGGCATTGGCAGCTTGACTCTTTATCTTGCAAACGGAAGAGTTCCCAAACAAAATAGTTTCCAAATGGAGTGGAGGGGCCGGGGGAGGGAAGAGAAGTGTTTACAAGGAAGTTCCGTAATCCTTCCTGACCTTTAGCCTGGAGCAGCTATTTAAAAATGCACTTCCAGGTATTTCTGGCCAAGAGCCACGTGTTAAAAAGCTGCTGTCCCTGTTACAGGCTGTGAGCTGGAACTTAGAGAGCTCTTGTTCTAACTCTGCATTAGTTTATAATGCAATGCCTATGAAAGGCAGAGCTGAAATAGGATCATCCATTTAAATTACACTTGAAAGAGGAGATGTAAAACGTAGCTGGCTGTCTCCTGGGTGTGCCTTGCGACAGGGCTGGCAGGGGAAAATACCTGGCGTGAGTGTACATTGTGTGGATGTACATCCACCTGTGGGTTATGTGTGCAGGTATATTTGTGTGTGTGCACTCAAGCCAGGGATGCTAATAAATCCTATTGATTAAACTGAAATTTTTTCTTTGGTGAATTGAATTCTCCCATGTTTTCTAGTGACGTGCATGCACCCTGCGCTTTGTGATGGCAGGAGTTTGTGCCTGGAGGATGAGGAAGGAAAATCAAGGGATCTCCTGGAGGGAACATGTCAGCTTTCTAAGTGAAGGAAGAAAGCATAGTTTCTGCTGAATTAATGCAGGATTGAACTGATTAAAGCAAAAACTGTAGGGAATAGCTTGGGACATGTGAAGTCAGAGTTATGTATAGCCAATGCTGTTCTTGCATGAGCCAAGCAATTTGTCTTAAAACGTCCAAGCTGATGAGCATGTAATTGTCGCGTTGTTGGCCTAATCTCCATTAACTCGTATCTGCTTGCATGCATTGCCTTTTGCTTGCTTATTGGTGCACAGGCCCAGCAAGCAGTGTGAGCCAATACCAAGAGCTGCAGGGTGTGATCTCTGAGCAGATGCCATTCTGCAGCACGAGCCAGTGCAACTCAGCAATTGTCATCCTGTGGCAATTCCCTGGGGCCAGTTTCAGAAGAAATCTAAGGAGAAAATGGGTCAGGAGCAGCAGAGATAGGGAGCTGCAGAATTGCAGAGGTGCTGCTCAAGTGAGAGCTTTTGCAGTTACTGTCAAATGGTGTTCTGCATCCCCTCGAGAGCAGAGTTATTCCTCTCAAATTTCTCCTGAAGAGGAGTGTCTCCTGCCCAAAATGTGGACTGAGGTGGCTGAAGTAGCCTTGTGGAGGTGGAAGCCCATGAGAGCTATGTCCCTTGTGTTGCTGGTGGCTTGGCTTGGTGGGACAGTCAGAGCTGGGAGCTGAGAATTGCTGTAAACACATACCCAGAGCCTTTTTCCTGGTGCTGCAGGGTGTGCTGCCAAGGGCTGATAGATGGTGAGGAAGCATCCTCCTCTAAGGCTGCATTGTGCTACCCCATGCCAGCCAGAAAATCAGGTCCCAGTTCACTGCCCTTTGAAGTCAAGACATCCCATAAACATCAAAAGGTTTTGGAGCAGGCCACAGGGGTGACTGGAAGTGCTTGACAAAGACTGGCTTCTCGCTGATTTAATCATAGAATATCCCAAGTTGCAAGGGACCTGTAAGTGTCATAGAGTCCAACTCCTTTAAGGACTAATCATGTCTGAGATAAGCTCTTCCCCACAGCTGCCCTGAACCTACTGCTTTGCTGGGCGTTGTTCTTGGCTGGGAGGGACTCTGCTCTCTATTTTGTCATGTTGGAGATGATTTATGCAGTCCCAGTCCTCCTCTCTCTCAGTCCATCTGTTTACACGGTGCATTCCAAGAAATTCATGTTCACATCCATCTGATGTGCTGTCGCCTAGGCTTGGCATTGCTGCTCCATGCTGGAATGCAAACTTTGCATTTTTCAAATAGTGTTCAGCCCTTGTAGTGAGGAAACGCAGAGGAAATACTCTGTATGTGTCCCAGGACCTGAAGTTGTCCTTGGGAACACTCCCGAGCTGTGTTTGACATCAGTCAGACAACCTCTGCCTCCTTGATGTTTCCCGTCACTTGCTGCTCTCCAGCATTGACAGAAAGTGGGATTTATCCAACCCTGCTCTGCTTTTTTGGCTGTGTAACTGAAGGAGGGGCTGTGAGCATCTTCTTTCTATTATTTTGTGTGATTTTAGTATCTGCTTAGCTCCCAAGCAGAAGATGGTTGTGTCTATTGTTATAGTACAAAAATAAGCAGAAATCTCATGTTGAAAATTCAGTAAGCTTTGGGCAACTTGCTCCTTTTAGCCTTTTCAAAAATAAAACTAAAACCAGCACGCTAACAAATAGGACGTGCTGGCTGCCAAAGGCTGCATTGTGAGGCCAGGCTGTTCCTGAGTGCCTGCCACACACAATGCCCCGTTGTGTGCCATGGTGGGGGCCGGCCAGGGGCTGCAGGAGGGCTGGGGGAGGCATGGGGGAAGATGTCCCTGTTCATTGCAGTGGAGGTTGGACCACATGACCTTTAAGGGTCCCTTCCATAATACTGTGTGCTATGGGGAGCTCTGTGTCAGCTGCCTCTCCAGTCTGCTCCTGCTGGTTTCTTGTCCAGCCTGCAGCTGATTTGGTCTAACACCTCCCATCAGCCCTCATCCAAGTCCCTTATTCTCCAGCAGAGCTTCCCTAGACAGCCTGCCCATGTCAGAGCACTCCAGCTGTGCTCCAGCCTACAGAACTCTTGCTGCAGTGGCATTTTTCCTGTGCGATAATCCAGGGTCCTCTTTGCAGTGGTTTGAGGTAGGGGTACCATGGTGCTGGTGCTGGGATGTGTGGTCTCACCCAGGCAAGAGGGGACGTATGTCCCTGGAGCCCCCAGCCTTGTTCTCCAGCTTGCATATGGCCCTCTGTCTTCTCTTGGCAACAATTCTGCGTTCCTCTCTTTTGTCAAGCTCCACCAGGCTCAGGCACACATGGAAAAATTCACCTTCTAGTCTTCTCCTTTCCCTTTCCAATCTGTCTGTTCTTCCCCCCCCAGGAGTTTGGCAGCACAAAGTCCGTCCCATCGCGGTGTGACTTCCTGCAGAACCTCATTGCCAACGGTTGTGCTGGCGCCATCGAGAACCCACGCAGCAGCAGCAGCGTGATGAAGAACATCCCCTTAAGCAGCAAGGGCTCTGGGCAGAGCCACCTGGATGTCACACAGATCACTCCGCAGAAGGTCGCCCTGAGTCTTCGTCCTGGTGAGTCCCAGCAGCTCCCAGCTCCATGGTTGCTTGTGGGTGGGCGAGAAGTGGAACTGGGATGTAGGATCATAGAGTCATTTGAATTGGAAGAGGCCTTAAAGGTCATCTAGTCCACCTGCTCTGCCACAAGAAAGGACACCTGCTGCTAGATCTGGGTGCTCAGAGCCTGGTCCAGCCTGAGCATGCAGCGGGATGGCTGTACCCATGTCCTCGTGCTCACTGAAGGTGCTGGCTGCTGGCCATCAGAGCCCATCAGCTTCAGTGATATGCTCCAAACAGAGCTGGGGCTGAGGTTTTCTATGGGAGGACAGTGAGAGGTCAATCAGATCCCACGTAAAGCTGTCACTTAACCCTTGTGTGCATTTAAAAGGAGCACGCTCAGCTTAAAAACGCACCCTTTGGATGGAAGGAGTTAAAGAAACTTTGGATCCTGAAGCCTGACAGTGCTTGACTCTAAACTGAGACAGCTCCTTATGTAAATTTTTTTTAAAAAGCATATCTGTTTTCTGTTGGTATGCAAAAGAGCCATGGGATCAAGGCCTGAGATGAAGATTTGAACTTGTGACTCAGAGCTTGGACCATATCCACATCCTTGTTTCATTCCCCTGAGCCATCACTTTCCTTAAGTCTTTTCATTTTAAATGAAAATTAAGAGTGAAAGGCTAGATGGAGCCACACGAGCGTGCTTGTTATCAAAAGTTTTTGCGTGGTGGGGGAAGGCTTTAATGTGGGTTCGGAATTCTAACAAACATTTGGCAGCCAGTGTTTCTGAAGGGGGGAGAAAAAGCTCTTTATGGCAAAGTTAAGAAGCAAGTATAAAAGCATGATTCATTATAAGCAATTGGTGTGGGTTTCTAGGACTTATGTTTCTGTGACAGCTCTCATGAGCATGCAGAAAAATGAGATAGGATGTTTTTGCCCAAGAAAAACAGCAGTGTGAGTTGGTGCTCACCACACTAGAGTTCTTTCAGGAGCTACCATGGCTGACGGTGGCTCCGGTGTGGCTCTGCTTCTGCAATTTGATGCTGCTAACGCAACAGGTTTGCTCCCGTCCAAAGGGAGTTGTTACTGTTATTACTCTGTTCCTCAAGGCAGTCGCTGTGGGAAAGGGCAGGCTCAGCATTGCCGTCTTGCAGGCATGATTCTTGGTGCTCAGCACTTTCCTTTCCCCACCCCCAGCTGTTGGGATGCCCATGGCTCCAGCAGTGAGGTGGGATGTGGGGTCCATCTCTGTGTGGTTTTCCTGGGGCTGTGTTGCTGGATGCTGGAGCTGCTGTTCCTGCTGGGCCTTGCAGGGAGCCAGGCTGCACTGCCAAGTTCCTATACGGCAGGAAGATGGAAAGTGGGGCTGATAACCCCTCTAGGATGCTGCACTGCTCTTGCTTCACCTGTATGCTGTGGGTTACCATAGCTTGTGGTCTGCTGGACAAATCATAGAGTCATAGAGAGACTTAGGTTGGAAGTGACCTTAAAGATCATCCATTCTCAACCCCATGCCTTGCACAGGGCTGCCAACCTCCAGATCAGTCTGCCCAGGGCATATCCCACCTGGCCTTGAGCGCCTCCAGGTGTACAGGGATGAACAGGGATGGGGTATCCATAACTCCTATGGGCAAACAGCAAAGGCTTGCAGAAATAGGGAGTGAAGGTGAGGCTGTACTGCTGCTTCTGAATACCAACAAATGCACGAGCCAGGGAGGGACAGGAGTCTTGCCAGCAGCTTTCTGCTGTCTCGCCTTTGCAACTGCTCCTGTGGCTGCAGGACTTGCCCTCAAATCCTCCAGGTCACTACAGGAGGAGAAATATATCTACATTTTTCATATTATCTCCCATTTGTACTGCTTTTCTTTTTCGTTTTTGTTGCAAAGCAGCACACTCTTACTCAGGGCTGATGACTTCCCAAACGCTGGGCTTTGCACCCCCAGTTTAAATCATCCATTTGTACTTGAGCTTGAGAGTGAATCCTGAGGGCTGCACCCAAGACAAAAAGGAGACAATATTGATTTAATTTTGTGCATATTGTGCATAATACCAATTTTGTGCTCCAACGGGAGTTATTTCTTTTTGTGCCCAGAGTGTAGGATTTCAAAGACCAATTGACACAGCAGGCGTGGTGATTGTGCTCTTCTATTCTCAGACTGCTAAGCAGAAGCAGAACGGGGCAAATTGTCAATTGTTTGCTGGTCCCACCCAGGCTGTGAGATCTGAGCATCCCGTGGCATAAACCACATCCCCAAATCTCTGTGCTCTGAGTTGATTCCTGAAGGCCTTACAGTGATGTCTTCTCAGGGCAACTTTCAGATCAAGCATTTAGTTTTTATGATGTTGCTTGTTAACTCTGGGTTCAGCTATAAGACAGTGTTCTGGTATGAAAAGTACGAATATTGTAAAAGGAACTTAAAGCAATGAATAGATTCATGTTGTGTTGTCCATTAAATCAGCAAGCAGAAGAGGGTTTTGTGGATAATCGCGGTTGACGAATTTGCATTCTTAAATTGGCCAAAAGCAGCTTTTCCAGTTTTTGTGCTGCCTCTGTGTGACAGTATCCAGGAAACATTTCTGAATGCAGTTTTAACTTTAATGCTTCTCAATAAAAGCCCTAAGGAGAGGATGGTGGCAGTGGTAGGGGGGGGAAGGAAGAGGCTGGGTTATCCCTGAAGAGTCAGACAAGCACTGTACACAGCGAAAAATAAATTCTTTTGTACTGACATTGCCATACATTAGGAGTATTTTCTGTGAGCTAATTAATTTGTGTAGTTTAGGAATGAAAGAAGAAGCAGCCCTGGGATCCTGATATTATTGCTGTTTTTTTGTGGACTAATACATTCATTACCATCAAGGAGGGTTCAGTGGAGCATCCCAAGAACTCTTTCCAGCATGGCAATTCCCATCTTAGGACCTACTCTGGAAGAACAGTATTTTTGAAACTGCCGTGTCTGGGGCACTGTATGCCAAAGGCACATTTCCTTTTTTCTCAATGGATTAAGTGGGGAAAAATGCATCTTGGGGTGGGGGTTGCACGGGGCTCAGGGGAGCAGGATCTGGCACCATGTGGGGCAGTAGAGCGCTGGGGATGCTGCAGAGCACTGGGGATGCTGCTGTTGCCTGCTCGTGGGCTGGAAGTAAGTGGGAGCAGCTGTGCTGCTGCAAACAATGAGGAAAACAATAAAACTTTTAGGGAAATGTTTTCATGATAATAAAAAATGTGCTTTTCATTTCTGAAGTGGGAGGAAGCAAAGAGTGCTGCAAAACCTGCTGGTGCCTGAAAGTTCAGCCTGGGCTGTGAAGTGAGAGGTAGAACGGAAGGGGTGCTTTGGGCTTGAGATGACTTTAACCCCTGAGGACTCAGCAAGCTGGAAAAGGGGCTGCAGAGCCAGCAGGAGATACGGGATTTTTAGCTGGAGAGTACTGGGGATTTCAGTTTGTCCCCTCACTCTGTTATTGGCAAAATGTAAGGCAGACATTGGCCTTGTCCCTTCTGGCTTCAAGTTGAGCTCATATTTATGCCAGCTCACCTTTTTCAGCACGTGGACTCCTATTCTGGACACTGTCTTGACCAGAAGAGCTTTGCAGAAGGGCAGGTCAGGGGAGAGGCTTACTTCAGCTCTTTTTCATGTCTTCTCAGCCTGACTCAGTCCTGTCAGTTTCCTCCCTTGTGTTCATCACTTTGGATGAAAGCTTTATCTCCACTTTGATACTTCCCCATTTGACTGCAACATCCCTCTTTTCCTGTTTCACTTCCCTTTTTGCCCTGCTTTCTCCAGAGTGATGGTGACATGACTCTTTTCCTGCGGAGAGGTCTTTCTAAAAGATGTTCTTTCTTTGTTTGCCTCAACCTGCCTTCCAGGCACAGTCCAGAGGACATCTTGCCTTCAACTCATGTTTCGTCCTGACCCTCTTCCTTCTTCTGCTCCACCTCCTTTCCTTCTTGTATAGGGCTTCCTTGCTTACCTGTTAGTCTCCTGAAGAGTAAACTTGAAGAAACTTGTTCCCCTTAACCCTCTTAGTTTGCAAGAGAGCCTGCTCTGCACAGTGAAAGCAAAAATAGCACGCAGTCTAGATTTGATGATGTGCTAGGTGTTTTCTTGCAGTGCTTTTCACTGCTCTCAACTATTGTGTGTGTGCAGGTGACAGGACCTCCTTCCGAGTTCAGGTCCGGCAAGTGGAGGACTATCCTGTGGACCTGTACTACCTGATGGATCTCTCCCTGTCCATGAATGACGACCTGGACAATATTCGCAATCTGGGGACAAAGCTGGCTGAAGAGATGCGGAAGCTCACTAGCAATTTCCGGCTGGGCTTTGGCTCTTTTGTGGACAAAAACATTTCTCCTTTCTCCTACACAGCACCGAGATACCAAAACAATCCCTGCATTGGGTAAGTAGGTGCTCCCCAAAAGGAGAAGCCCAGTGCAGATACTAACAGTGTCTGGAGAGTCTTTCCTTGCAGTTCTGGCTTTAGGCATCGAACCACACTTTTGGGACTGTGTGGTAATGCTCCAGAGCCATTCAAAACCAAGCAATTCCCAATTTTGCAACAGCTTTTGGGGTTACTCTGATCTAAAGATGTACCTAGATGTTCCTCTTGTGCCAGGAATCTAAAGCTATTTTTAAATACCTGAAGAGGATTCAGACATTGTGGGCTTTATTTTTTTTTTTTTTTCAGAGACTTTGAGAAAAGGGAGCAAGAGCCAGAAATTCCTGATTTCTGATCCTGTCTCTGAGTCATAGTTTGGCCTTGAGTAGGTCAATTAAGCTCTTCTTCTCTGCTTTACAGATAAGGAGACCAAAGCAGTGCAATTCTTTCCCAACAGAAGTGTTTGGGGGAAGTGAGATTTGGAAGGGCCTGTGAGACTGATTAATGAGTATTTGTAAGGCATTCTGAAGATGTCAGGCAGTTTCCTTCATCTTTATTGCCAGGGAATGAAAGCGAACTGGCAATTGCAACAGACACAAATAACGCAGTTTGCTTTGCGGTGTTATCAGAGCCTTTTTTTTCCTTGTTAGTAGCTTTCTTAGTGTCTTTTTGTTTGACTTGTAACAGCCAGAGGATCTAGTCTGTTCAATCAAGGATTATGCCAGAGTGAAATAGGCTGACATGGAGGGCGTACAGGCTCAGGTGGATTTGGATGTTGGCATGTGAGGGTGCAACAATGAGTCATAGAATCATTAAGGTTGGAAAAGATCACAAAGATCACCAAGTCCAACTCCAACCCATCCATACCATGCCCACTAACCACTAACCCAGTGCCCATCTGCTCTTTTTCTGAACATCTCTGGGGATGATGGCTCTACCACCTCCCTGTGCCAGTGCATCACTACTCTTTATGAGGAGTGATTTTTCCTAATATCCAACCTGAAGTTGCCTCCTTGGAGAATGTTGCCTTTGACACTTCTCTTCATGCTCCTTGTCCTGCCCCTTCTTCTCCTCATCCCTTTTTGGGGTGCTCTTTATTGCTGAAAGGGCAGTAGAATTAGCCCTTTTTTGTGAAGCATGCAGAGATACTTAGGCTGTGAGATCACATCACAGACGCCAAGCTTTATGAGTGTGCTTGCTCTAAGCTTTCTGTATGAGAGGCAGATTAGAGAGAGTTTTCATCAGCTGTAAGTCTCTTGCCATCTTTTGGCACTGACTGAATATTTGACATCTCATCACCTGTTCAGCAGACAAAATTATCCATGCACTTTTTTCATCAGTCCTATCCAGAGAGGAAAGTCAATTGGATGGTGATTTTAATACTAAAAACTCATGCTTTGGCTGTGAAGCATAGCCACAAATCTGGAACTCCTTGACTTTGGTGCCCTTGCACGTGTTTATAGTGGGATGAAAGTAGGTAAGTCAGAGGAAAGTACAAAGCTTGTTTTGGAGCATATAGAGTTCTGCAGCACCCAGATGAAAGCCCTGGCTAGTGAAGGAGTACTTTCATCTGTCACTTTTTCTTCAAACACTTCCTCTTGTTCAGAGCATTCAGGTTATGCAGTATTTTCCATTCTGCATCCCTTGCATGCCTAGCTTTGGGACGCTGCTGTAATGGAAACAACCTGGCTGACAAACCTGGCTGGGCATGGACAAGTGGCTCTACACGAGCTGTTCACTGACACCATAGCACTGTGTCCTCTGCTCTACACAGATCTTTCCCTGCCCCTGAGATTTGGCATGGCCTCAGGGATGCACGCAGTCATCTCTTTAGTCCTTATTTGCTGCTGCATCAAAGCTCAGCTGCCGTGCTCAGGAGGCTGGATCTGCTAGGTCCTTGTGTGGTGATGTGTGTGGGTTTGCACAATGGGGACATGCATGTGGCACACAGCTTTTGGCAGGGGAGGGATTAGAGCCACCAGCAGTGGTAAACTTTAACTGTTCCTTTGTTAGAAAGCATCTTAGACCCTACCCACAGTGAGTCATTTTTTCTTTCTATCTCTGAAGATAAGAATGACCTACTGCAACTCCTTTGTAAACACATTTTATTCTTAACTTTTCTCCTCCCTCTCCCCTGCCCATGCTCACCTCCTGCCCAGACTGCAGGACTTGCTCAGCTCAGGGCTCCCAAGCACACCATGAGCACCAATCCTAAGAACACCAAACCCTCGAGGTTTGTTGCCTCCTGGCAGCTTTGCAAGGTTTCCTGGCAGCCTACTGCATCATTTCTCCACCTTAGGGTGCTGCTCCTTCCTTGCTGCTCCAAGCTAAGCAGGAGTGACAGTGTTTGCTCATCTGCCTTGGGGGGAGAGTGGGAGGATGCATGAGTGATTAAGTAGATGCATGCCCACTGCACTGCTGTGCTGTGGGCTCTAGTGGGAAACTGCTGTGACTTATGGGCACTGAAACCCCACAGCCATATGGCCCCGGTGCTTGTTGTCTCCACTTGAATGTTGTATGGAGACATTCAGTCCGGATGAGAACTCTGCAAGCTTCAGCTGCTCAAAGCCAGTGCAGAGATGGGCTCTACTGTGTGTTTGTGGATAACTAGCCAGAAATCAGAGCATCCAAAGCATGAAGTCTTGTGGAAGGCTCAGAGATTTGGAGGCCTGTGTAGTAGAGCTCGGAGCTCCTGCAGCTTGTGGCTCTTGGTGGGGTTGATGCCAACTAACCCTTCCTCTTCTGCTCCTCTTGCAGGTATAAGCTGTTCCCAAGCTGTGTCCCTTCATTTGGTTTCCGCCATCTCTTGTCCCTGACGGACAAAGTCGACCGTTTCAATGAAGAAGTGCAGAAGCAGAAGGTGTCCCGGAACCGGGATGCCCCAGAGGGTGGTTTCGATGCAATTTTGCAGGCTGCTGTGTGCAAGGTGAGTCCCACTGCCTTCTGGGTTTTTAAAGCAAAGTAAAAGAGAGGAAGTTTCTTTAGCTGTGTTCTTGGATCCAGCTTCAATGCGTAAATTTTTATTGTAGAAACCATGAAAATTGCATTGAGAAGTAGAGGTTTTTATCTGCTTTTATGCATGAAGAGGCATAGCAGAAATGCATCTTCCTTGCTGTCACCATTCCACACAGGACAAGCCCTCTCCCTGCAGTGCAGAGCTAGGTTTGCATGCTGTTCTCACTGCAAGATTCTTGCTCAAAATCCTCCTGGAGCAAGCGGTTGGGTTGCTCCATATCCCTTTGTGAGTTGGGGATGAAAACCAATGGTTCTTTCAAATGTCCTCTCCCCTGGGCAGTGCAGTTGGGCTGCCCTGCTCTCCACAGACAGCCCCAGCTGCCTTTTTCCCTCTGACACACAGAATCACAGTATCACAGAATGGCCAGGGTTGGTAGGGACCTCAAGGATCATGAATCTCCAACCCCCTGCTACATGCAGGACCACCAGCCTCCCCATTTAATACTAGCCCAGGCTGCCCAGGGCCCCATCCAATCTGGCCTTGAACAACTCTAGGGATGGGGCATCCACAACCTCTCTGGGCAGCCTGTTCCAGCACCTCACCATTCTCTCTGTAAAGAACTTCCCCCTGACATCCAACCTAAATCTTCTCTCCCTCAACATAAAACACACACAATTTGGCTTTTGTCCAGCTCAGCCTTGCACAGTTCTTTTGGTAGGTTCTATTTTCTTGTGGGTGTGGATTTTGGGATAAGCATCATCCACAGGAGCAGTGGGATGCAAGCTTGTGCAACAGGATTGAGTGGGAATGCGTATCGCCCTTTGTTCACACTGGGTGCTCGACAGGACCGAGCCTGCCCTGCTGGCTCCAATGCCTCAGAGCAGCTGTCTCTCCTCTCCCAGCCTGGCACAGGTGCTGCTGGCACTGGAACAGCACTGCTCCCAGCTCTCTGTAGGTACAAAGTTCATCGTGTGGCTGAGAGGTGGCACTAGAGCAGGGATGTTTCAGGGCAGTGACTCAGTTGTGCCACCCTTCATCTGGCTCTTTGCGGTTTCTCCGTCACATTTTCCTTACCGCAGCAATGGGACAGGATTTCCTTATAGTGCAGAAATATTGCACAGAGGCATCATTTGGGCTGTGCTTCTTAAGCCCCATAACCCCTAAAGGAACTTTGTTCCCTTTGCAAGTGGTGATTTGGGGGCTGTCTGTGGTCCTGGGGTGGGTTTCCCCATTGCCACCTGTCTGCAGTACCCCGTTGCCTCTCCTGGTGCGCTCCTGCTCTTCCAGCTTACACCCTTTAGGGAATTTCAGACCCCCTGGGCACTTAAAGAAGCCATTTGTAGCATCCCAAGGGACGGCCCTCGGCAGCCCCAGTGTCTGAGCGCCATGTTCTCCCCTGCAAGCACAGAGGTAGGAGAAACAGTCCCTCATTTGTTGGTGAGGTGTTTTCATGCTGTAATTCATATTGAGTGTTTCTTTTGCATGAGCTGTTATGAGAGCTCTGTCATTTTTTGGCTGAGGTTTTAAACTGAGGAGTGAGAAGAGCTTGCACAGTTAATACAGACTAATAACTGGTCTGTGTTTGGCTCCTCTCTGAAAGATGGAGAGATGGTAAATGTTATTCTGGAGGCAATGAAAGAGCCAGAGACAATAAGCCTTTATGCTGATGCTAGAACGGTTAGCCAGGAATATTAATCAACTTTCTGTAATTACATTTTCCATTTGCAGTACTTTGGTTTTCTGCCATCTTGAAGTGTAGACATCATAGAGCTTGGTGGCACATGTAAGTTGCAGATCATATACACGGAGCTGCAGCAAGGAAGTGATGCTTAGTTGTAAAATCAAGTGTCTTTTGAACTGCTTTTGGTCAGCGCTCATTAGGCACAATGTTTGGCATAAATTTAGATGCTTACTTCAGAGTTGGAAACACTGATAACAATCTGGCCGCCTTTTCAATGGGGTTTGGAAGGCTGAGGTGTGCTGAGGCAGCTGTGGTGGTTCTGACAGCAGCAACTGTGGGAGCAGGGCAGGATTTATTCCTGCGTGGCCCTGCAGAGACATGTCCTTACCCTCCATGCTGCCTCAGGTCAGGTCCCACCCTGCCTTTCAAACCTTCATATCCCACGGGGATTAAACCAGCACCGGCGTCAATGCAGATCACTGTTCAAAAATCACGGGCCAGTAAAAATAAATGCAAGCCTCTTTGGTTGTTTGTTTTAAGCAGAGCAGAGCACTGTATGTCTCGTACAGAGCAGCATTTCCCAGCGCTTTGCAGCTGCAGGAGGAGGCAGTGAGAGATGCTGCAGCTGCTCACTGCCAACCTCTTGGTTTTTCCACCCGTCTCCAGCAGCCATGCACATTTTGTAACGTTGTGGTGTGTGCTGCATTGGCTCGAAGCACCGTGCAGCTTCGGCATCAGGGTGGGTGTCTCAGCTGAGATATGCTGCCCAGATTTTTCAGCATTTCTACGTGCTTGGCTTAAGTGTGAGAATAGGGGTGAGTCTGTGTATGAAGAGGTACATAGCCCTTGGTGAGAAGGTGGTGCCACAGAAGGCAGGAAAACAGGAATCATGCCTGGAGAGGCTGCATAACTGTTGTCTGAATGAAGTTCATTTGCTTTGTGCACAGCACACTTCTAAGCTTCTAATCTGTGGTTTTTCTCTCAGTCCTTAAAGAAGTCAGCTTCAGGTACCGAAGGAAAGTGAGCTGATGGGCTGTTGGGTGGGTGTCTGTCCACTGGCTGAGTGGTGCAAGAAGCTGCTTGCGTTGTCAGAGCCATAATCACTTTTGGGGTTTCTGCCTTTTGTCTGGTGGGGTTGCTTCAGTGGAATGTCTCCCACTTCCCAGACCAAAAAAGCCCTTATTGCTTTCTGACCTAGATGGCAGTGTGCTGCTACATGACACACCTGTCCTGCCAATGAGGGCTTCCTCTGGTTGTACCTGCGTTACATGGCTCTCGAAAATGCCCTTAAAGAAAAAATACTTCTTGCATTCGGGAAGAAAAGGAAATAGAGTCTGGAGTAGTTCTCCTGAAGCTGTATTTACCAGAAAGGTCAGCAGTCTGTGGGCTGTGACTCACATCTGCAGCTGAAAATTGTGGTGGCAATCATGGTTATACTTCTGTGTGCACTGCCAGCTCACTGTCACTCCACCAGTGGTTTCCATAGGAAATGCCTGCAGCCAAGCTGCATAAGTTTGTCAGCTGGTGTTTGAATGTAGGATGAGGTAGGTTTCAGATGTTACTGAGTAAGCTGAGCAGTGAAATCCAGAGGAGTTGGGTCTTTTCAGATGTGGTTTGCATCTGGGTGCTCCTGGCTCCATAATCTGTGCATTGGGGGGGCTGGAGGCCAGAGCCATCCACATGTGTAGGTGGAGAGAGCTGCTACCTGATGGCATCCAAATTTTCCTTCTGGCACCTCTGTTTCTCTCCACCTCCATTGCAACAAGCAGCTTCAGTGTGCTTTCTTAGGCACGGATCTGCTTCTTGGGCTGGTGCGGAGCTGAGGGAGCTCTGTGGGAGGGAAGCAATTAGCATCCAACTCTAGTGCCTTTCCATGCAAAAACCCTATCCCTGCAGATCTGTCCATGCACAGACAATCACAACACCTATTTCTTGCACAGATGGCCTGCACATAAGGCCCTTGCTTTCTGTGCTGCAGTCCCGAAGCTGCTTTTCCAAGTGGGTTGCAAGAAAAATGCTGAGTAGGGCTGGTGCAGCTCTCATGCTGTGTGCAGCAGCGCAGCCATGTCACTGAGCTGAGGAAACGAGGTCAGATGAAACGCGTGCAGAGGAATTTGGCATGTCTCCTCTGGCTATAAAAGCAGCTGAAATTCTTATTCTTGGATCAAGGTAGAGAAGGTCTGGTGGACAGTCCACGTACCAACTCATGCCTGTTTAAGTAACTGCATTGCAGGGAGGTGCTGGGAAATGCTAGAAGGGCCCCAACATCATCTTTTCTCACCAGATATGGGTGGACAGAGGTATGGCTTTCTACTAATTAGTGTTAATGAGGCCTTTTGTTCTGCCTCAGGAGAAGATCGGCTGGCGGAAGGAAGCATCCCACCTGCTGGTCTTCACCACGGATGATGTGCCCCACATAGCTCTGGATGGGAAGCTGGGGGGGCTGGTGCAGCCCCACGATGGCCAGTGCCACCTGAACGAGGCCAATGAGTACAGCGCGTCCAGCCAGCTGGTGAGTGGGCACAGGGACCTTGGGGATGTCAGTGGGCCCTGTGCTGCTCTGGGCTCTGTTTGCTCCTGATGAGTGTGGTTTCACTCTTTCCCTCAGACATCTCCATTCAGTGAATGCACTTGTGATGCATGAAGATAGGTTTGGAGCCTAGCAGATTTTGTCAGGATTCACTAACAGGGAGGGAAATGTAACTTGGCAAGCTGAAGTGCATCATCAACTGCGAAGTGCCCAGGGATTGTCAGGCTGTCAGCAGGGAGGCTGAGCCTACCTTGATGTGGCTGCTGCCACGAACACAACGCGGTGCTGATCCTATTCACAGCCTTTGAGCACAACCCTAACGCAGATCTTAGTACTAAATAAACAGACCAGCCCCTTTTTTTTCTCCCTTTATTTAAACTCAGTGGAGGAAACTTCTGTGGTGAATGAGCATTTGTCTGCTGCCTAATTATCACATCCTCCTGCAGAATGGTGCTTTATCCAGCAAGTCACAAGCACTAATTATGATTTTTGTTCCTGCATACACCACTCTGTGACAAGAGGTGTTTCTGGATGGTTGCCTATGGCTCCTTAGAGAACCCCCTGTCCACAGCCCATGCAATCTTGCAAGTGTTTGCATTCCAGAGTACAGCTGCTGTACTGGAGCTGTGCTGGGGAGCTGGCATGGGGATGCTGTCTCAGTGTTTATTTGAGTCCTGGAAGCTCTAAATTAGCCCTTCAGCTTGCAAGTGAGTGGGGTGAATTTTCTGAGAGCCGCATTTCAGAAGAAGCTTGGGGCCTGAAGCTCTTGAAATGAATACAGTTTTGTTATTTTGTTGCTTATGAATTGCTAGAACAGTACCTTCCTGCTAACCTTTCTCTGAGTTCTGCAGAATTGAAGTTTATCATCATTTCTTCATGGCTCTACTATGCAGCAAGAACAGGCAATCTCAGCTTTCAGAGAAAAATCATGCATCTCCGCTTAGTGCAGTTCTAGATCATGGTCATGTCTTGCATCCCTGGGGTTGGCAGGTGGGTTACACGTGCGCATCGGCTGATAGCAAAGTGGAAAGAGGAGGGAAAAAAAAATTGTTTCAAGTGTTACTGTGGCTCATGGTGTTGTCATTTTATGCATTCTAATGATAGGTGCAGCAGAAGTATTCAGGGAGTGACAGAATTACCAGAATGTTTCTACTATTTCAGTTGTAGATGTAGTGGTTCACTTCACGCTGCAGTGAAATGCCGCAGGTTTTGCTGTTGGGAGAAGAGTAATGAAATTAGTCTTTGTTCTACCCATCAGTCTTTCTGTGTTGTTTTTCCCCTAGGATTATCCTTCCCTGGCACTCCTTGGGGAGAAACTGGCTGAAAACAACATCCACCTGATTTTTGCTGTTACAAAAAGCCATTATGTCCTGTACAAGGTAAGTGCTGCTGAGAAGTTCATGGGCAGGGCTTAGGGTGCCTCTTGAGAGCGTCTTGGCCATGATGCCCTTAGGTCACACCAGCTTGGCACAGCTGTCACCTCTCCCTGCTAGCACCCAGAGCATGGTCATTCAGTGGAAAGCACTAAAGCTGCTTACTGCAAGCAGATCTCTGTGTTAGTGAGTGTGTGCGTACCTAAAATAGACCCTATCCTAATCTTGCTGCTGCGCAGCAGACGGGAGAGCAGAAACCTGTTCAGCCCTTTCCGCTGTGACTCAGTCCCATTACCTAATCCAGTACGGTGCTGCTGCCCAGCTGTGTTTTTCCATCTCCCTAGCCCCAACCTGAGCTCCTTTGCCATCCCCGCGGCAGGAGGCTCTTCCCTGGGGCTGTCTCATGGCAGAAGTGGGTGGAGGGATGTGGGGATGCAGATTGGGTTTTTGGGAAGTGCATTCTCTGCACTGAGCCAGGCAAGCAGCGAGGTGCTGGAAGTCCCCATGGGGCTGGGGGCTGAGCTCATGCTCCACACCCGCTCTCAGGGAAGCTCGACTGCCACATCGCATTGCATTGCAGCGCGTTTTCCACTTGTTGTCTTTTCAAGAACTTCACTGCCTTGATTCCTGGGACCACGGTGGAGATTTTGCACAAGGACTCCAAGAATATCATCGAGCTGATTGTCAAGGCCTACAACGTAAGTGTGTTTTAACACCACAGCTGCTGTGGTGGGAGCGCCAAGAGCTGAGCTCGCTCAGCCCTGCCTCGTGATCTCCACCCAGGCTTGGCTGCATCTCTCTGGTCCTCTCTGCAGTGGGTCACTGCTGACGTGCTTGCATCCACCCTGGGGAGGGAAAGGAGCTGCTTGTCCTCTTTAGGATGATGCTGATGGTTGGGCTGATGTCATCTGCTTGGTCCCTTGCTGGGCTGGCAAGAAAAGCAAAGCATGAGTGGAATTGCACCATAAATGTAACCTGGATTTAATAGCTGTCACAGATCACCATACTGTTAGAGAAAATAGATCATTTGTTTGCTGTTTGATGCTCAGTGACCTGTCAGGGACGTGACGCAGCTTAGGCGGCATCCTTGGGTTGATTACAATGCAACTCTATGGAGATAAGGGGGGAGCAGAGTGACCAGAAGCAGCTACATAGAGAGCTAGTGGGATAGCTGTCTGAATTTGTTGGATTTCTGCTGGATCCTTACGGTTCAGCTCTGTGCTTCTGGGAGGATGCTGGGTGTGTGAGATGTGTAACTCAGTGTGACCATGTATGAAAGTCTGTTGTGGAAATACATTGTTCCACCCGTGTTCTTTTTGGCTAAACTGAAATACTGTGCTGTTCTGGGTCAGCCCTCAGGTAGGGTTCTTCATACACGCAGTGTCTGAGCTGATCTTTGCAGCCAGGGGGGCAAACAGTACACTGATTTCCTGAACCCATTCCCAGCAGATCTCATAATGTTCCTCTCTACATCACTAATGGGTTTCCCATGGCAGGTGGCCTTTATGTCAGCCATCCTTGGAGCCGCTGCAGGTTCAGAATTCCCTTGTGTTCACACTGAAATGCTCCTCCTTAGGGTGTACCCCATGCCGTTACAGCTTTGTTTCAATCAGAAGTTGCTCCATGGGCAAGGTCCTTTCTCTGAATCTCTCTGGAGTCTTCTGCTCATTTCTGAAGGTATTGCAGGCCTGGGGCCACCAAACAGCACAGCAGCAAAACCCCTCCAGTAGTGGCTGCAGTGCCATGGAGGCATGCTGCTTTGCAGTGCCAAGTGGCTAATAATAATTGGATTTAAATTAGGCTAATAGCATTACCCAATAAGGCTGATAAGAAATCTTGGTGTTTGCATCAGAACGTAAGAATGACCCAGGTGGGGTCATACCGTGGTCCTTCTGACCTGCTGTCCTGTGTTCTGTAGCCTTTGTCTTTTTTGGATACCACTCACCATGCATCACTTCCAGCCATCAGAAGAACTAAACAAAACAACCTCGTTTCACATTAGTACTTATAAACAGAGTTTTCCCTTTATCCTTATTTTGTTTTGGCTTTAAAAGTCTGGGTTGTGCATCAGGGTGAAGAAATGAGAAGAAGAAGAAGAAGAAGAAAGGGAATAGGAGCGTACCAAAACATCACGATGCAGAAAGTCTTTCACTTTAAAAGGTTTCACAAAGAAAGAGATTTTACCTTTTTTTTGCCATAGAAAACCTAGTATTTGCTGTTGACTTATCCAAAAAAGTCTGGCATTTTCTCTTCAGAGGAAAGTTTTTCTGACCAGTTCGTGCTGAATCAAGAAAGCAGGACAGAGTTGCTGATTCAGTTTCAAGTGTGTTTTTATGTCTCCTTTGTGCAGTACAAAAGGCATCATGGGATGGATGCCAGTGGAGCATCAGGCTCTGCACTCTTACAACAGACTTTGCTATGGGGGAGGTGTAGATGTGCACACAAGACTCTGACCTACAGCTTGGAGATGAAGCAAATGGTCCATTTGTGGTTGAGAATGTTTCCTTTTTTATTTTGTTGTGTATGCATCTTTCCAGTACAGGCTTCAGTGGTCATCATGACCCTTGTAGAGTGCATAAACTGTACTAACTGTTCATAAACTGAGTGCAAAATCCCCAGGTGCTCCAGTCCAGTTCCAGGTATTGTTTTTTGTACTGGTGTTTTTTGTACCTGGCTGCCTTCTGAATGCAACAGAAGATACCAAAGCAGAATTCTTTGCAAGAGAAACCTGCCTGCCTCTATTAACCTGACAACTTTCTTTCTCATTGTATTTCCAGAGCATTCGGTCCAAAGTAGAACTCACTGTCTGGGACAGCCCTGAGGACATTGGCTTGACCTTCACTGCCACCTGCCAGGATGGATTGTCCTACCCTGGGCTCAGAAAATGTGGGGATCTCAAGATAGGAGATACGGTGAGTCTGTCTCTCTGCACATGTCGGCTGCCCATCTTCCTCTGCTAGCCTCAAAACTGTGCTATGGTAATGTAAAAGCCCACTGAGAGCAGCTCTGCCAGCTGAAGAGCTCTTCTCTCTTCATGGCAGGGTAGGTGGACTAGGTGGCCTTTAAAGATCCCTTCCAGCTCAAATGATACTGTGTTTCTGTTATTCTGTGAAGTCCAGATGCACCTGAACATGTTGAGCATGACCAGGAGAGCGTGCTGTCACCTGGCATCAGCACTGCATTGCAGGGCCAGCAGGCTCAGCCTGTCTGGGAATCCTGAGCCCTTCTCCAGGCCTTTGCTGTTTGCAAGGACTCATTAGCAGGATGATTTCCTTATTTGAGAAGAACAGCTTTAAAAACATACCAGAGCGCTAAGCACTTGGGCATATAAAAATAGTTAGGAAGAATAAACAGTAGCTGAACCTTTACCCCTCCAAATAAGGGCTATGTGAAGTGTTAAAAGGGGAGGTGGCTTCAGCATTTTAGCTGACATTACTGGATTTCAGCTCAGCGGGTAGAATCAGTCCCTGGAGCTGTGCCAACCATAGGCACGTGCCCTCCTGATGTCCTCAGCAAAGCCAGGGCCCCCTTGGAGCAGGAGCATTAATCTGATGGCTGAGCCTGGGCTCTGGCCTTTGGCATCAAGACAGAGCTCGTGCAGCTATTGAGGTTTGTCCTTGCATCCCCTCCTGCTCAACAGCTTCTATGAGCATCAGAGTCTAGCTCCTGTGAACAGCTGAGAGAGCTTCCCCAAAGGGGTTGACATCGACACCGGGTCCTGAAATGCTGAGGGTCTCGTACTGGTGGCATGTGGAAGGGAGCAGAGTGATGCCCTGAGCTTGCTTTCTGATGTAATGGCCTTAAGTTGTACCAGAGAAGGTTCAAATTGTATACTGGGAAAAACCTCTCAGAATGAGTAATGAGGCACTTCACAGGCTGCCCAGGGAAGAGCTGGAGTCACCATCCCTGCAGGTGCTCAAGAACCATGGAGATGTGGCACTGAGGGATGTGGGTAGTGGGCATGGTGAGATGGGCTAGAGTTGGACTTGGTGATCTTTGTGATCTTTTCCAACCTTAATGGTTCTATGATTCTATGTCCTTCTCTGCAGTTTACGTTTGTTCCATAATTAGGGCTTTATGAGTGATGCAGGTTGGGATTCTCACAGAAGATGCTAAATCCTTCACCTTGTAGACATCTTTGGTCCTTGTGCTGCATTGGCTAGATTTGTGCTGGTACTTGCTTTCAAGCAAATGTCGTATTTTTGCTGTTATGAAAACCTGTCTGTTTGCTAGACTTTTACCCCAGTTATTTCAGGCAGGCTGCCTCCTGCTTCACAGAAACCAGAGGTCTGTGATGAAGAACATTAACTCTTGTGGGTGATGGCAATAAGCCTTGAAACTTCACTCGAATGCCTGTGGTGTGTTTTGAAATGAGCTACCCACGGAATAATGAACACTTTGGTGAGGGCTGAGATGTGGGTTCAGCAGGCAGAAGCTGCATGGGCTATGTGGGGGCATGAAGGTGGTGAGGAGAGTGGCTGCACAGTTGTTTGGGGCTCCCCTAGCACAGCTCCAACACTTCCCTCTTGGTGGTTCTCCCCTTGGTGTGTGGCTTGCAGGGATTGAACGTCAGTTTTGTGCCTCTGTCCTACTTGGGTCACACGTGGCCCATATGGGGAACCAGAGTGGTGGTGAGGGGCAGAAAGGAGGTCAAAACCTTGATGGACTATCAGGGCGCTGAGGTGCCCACATGAGGTGGAGTTAGGGCAGTTCATCTGTACCTGGGAGGCCATTTTGGGCTGCACACTGACTGACCCCCCTTGCCCTCTCTCTCCAGGTTTCCTTTGAGGTGTCGGTGGAGGCCCGGGGCTGCCCTGCTGAGGACACCTCCCATGTCTTTACCATCAAGCCAGCTGGCTTCCGTGATACACTGGAAGTGAACGTCACCTACAACTGCCTCTGCGGCTGCACCAGCCATGCGGAGCCATCCAGCAGCAAGTGCAGCAGCAATGGGACCTATGCCTGCGGGCTGTGCGAGTGCGATGCCGGCTACCTGGGGGCCCGCTGCGAGTGTGAGGAGGGGGCCGGCGGGGAGACCCAGCCTGGGCTGTGCCGTGAGGTGGAGGGAAAGCCCGTCTGCAGCGGGCGGGGGGAGTGCAGCTGCAACCAGTGTGTGTGCTATGAGAGCGAGTTCGGGAACATCTACGGGCCCTTCTGTGAGTGTGACGACTTCTCCTGCGCCCGATACAAGGGAGTCCTCTGCTCAGGTAGGTGCCATCCCACCCCTCACTCTCTGTTTTGCCCGGGCTGCAAAGTCACTGGTTTGGTGTTGATTGTTTGGGAGCGTATTTGCTGATATGCAGCCTTAGTGTAGTCCTCATGAGGCCTCATCTGGAGTACTGTGTCCAGCGCAAGAAAGATGCAGGGTTGTTGGAGCAGGTCCAGAGGAGGCCATGAGGATGCTCTGAGGGTTGGAGTAGTTCTCCTGCTGAGAAAGATGGGGAGAACTGGGTTTGCTCCGCCTGGAGAAGAAAAGGCTCAGAGAAGACCTCATTGTGACTTTCCTGTACTTAGAGGACCTTATAAACTAAAGGGAAGGTGACTTTTTACATGGTCTGATAGTGTGATAGGACAAGAGGGAATGACCTTAAGCTAAAAGAAGTGAGATTTAGGTTAGATGTGAGGAAGATACTTTTTACTCAGAGGTGAGGCATTGGCACAGGCAGCCCAGAACGCTGTGGGTCCCTGGAGGTGCTCAAGGCCAGGTGTGCAGCCTGAGATGGAGAGTGGCAACCAGCCCATGGCGGGGGGCTGGGACTGGTGGGTTTTAAGGTCCACTCCAACCCCACCAATCTGTGATTCTATTACAACAATCACAGGCTTGGATTCTCCCAAGCTTTTTCTTGCCTTCTTAAATTGCATTTCTCCACTTATGCCATGTGCCCACACAGAAACCATCTTTTTTTAAAGGTAACACATTTGAAGCAATCCCCTGGTACATGGCAGGGGAAAGGAAAGGTTGAGTTTTGGTTTGTTACTCATTAGAGAAAATCTGTGTTGGAGATTCCTAAAGAGACTTTAATGCAGATTTTTCTACCTGCTGGGAAAACAAATCATCCACTGGTCAAGATTTAGCCAGTGTGTTTTGCTTCATCAAAGGTGGAGGAACAATTTAGCAGTGTTTGCTAAAATAGCAATTCCTTTAATTCCTTTTCAGCCTGAGGTCATGTAATTTATCTTGCACACGTTGCCTGGATCAACCCTAAGACATAACTCTTTCACCTGAAGCTGGGTAAAATGTTATTCTTCAAAACCTCTTTGTTCTCCAAGTGAAATATTTCCTCAAGTGAAAATCTCAGACCAAATTTCCAAAATGCTGTGCAGGTTTGCGTTAGCTCTCTTGTTGGTAGAGTAAGTTCAGAAAAGCAGCTGTTTTTCACTGTTCTTTGGAGAAGTGGAGGGATTTTTCCCCACTGTGCCTAGCCCTGCAGGCTTCTGAGTAAGTGATGAGCTACCCCTGGGTAGTGCATTTATAGAATCATAGGAGTACTAAATTTGGAGAAGATCACTAAGATCACCAAGTCCAACTCCAGCCCATCCCCACCTTGCCTGCTAACCGTGTCTATCACGTGCCACATCTCCATGGTTCTTGAACATCTCCAAAGACAGTGACTGGCACTCCCTGGGCCATTGGAGACTGTTGTGTTGGTAGGCAAGTTGGGGCTGTTGGGGCACTGTCTGCATATGGAAATGGCAATCCTCTGGCTTTTGGCAGCAATTGGAAACAGCACCGTGGCAAGTCATGTGTCTTCTGTTGCACCTAGCCGAGGGCTGCTGGTGGTGGGAAGAAGGGCAGAGCTGGTTTGGGATGTGCCAGTTTTAGAGTCATTGAAAAGTGTGGGTTTTTTTTATAGCTGTGAAAGAAAACAAAGCGGAGGCTGAGGCCAAGCAGCTCCAGGGATAGACTGGTGGGGTAGTTCTCACCATGCCTCCTGGTATTTTATTGTTTTGTAGCCTTTTTTTCTTCTGAATTCCAACCTATTGAGTAAGATTTCTCAGCCCAAGGGGCTTAGGACTTCTCCAGCCCACCAAAAGTGCCTGAGCTTGCACAGCAGTTGGTGTGGGGTGTGCCCCAAACTGCCCCTAAAGAGCAGCAGGTCTCTGGAAGAAGTAGGAGACAGAGCCCTCTGCTCACTGCCTGCCTCCCTGCCTGGAGCCCAGCTCAGGAATTTGCAGATCACTGTGCATCTCCGTGGCTTTTGGACCTCTTGGCTGCCTTCCAGCAGATCTGACAAAAGAGGAAACATCTCAGTGCTAATTGCATTCCTAAAGGTCCTATAAAATGAGTTAGTAAGAGGGAGGAGAGGCCTTGGTAAGAGCATCATGCATTGGCCACTAATGAAGCAGGACTGGTTCTCTGGAGGCTAGGCTTTGTTAGCTGCAGTGCTCAGACCCTTATTTGTAGGGGGTGTAAGTAGTACAGCATCTCCTTTACTTCAGTGTGTCTACAGAAATTTCCTTGTCTTCACCACTGCTGACGCAAAAAGCTAACATCAGCAATAGGGTGTCAGATTTGCCACCCAAAACCACTTCTGAAAAGGGATTTAGGAAATGGCAACTCAACCAAAAACCCGTGGTTTGTTGCGCAGAGACTCTATCTACATAGACCTCCAAGTGCCCTGCGGAAACTGAAAAGCTTCAAAAACTGCTGAGGGTGTGAAAATCTTTCATGGCCTCCATAGTTATATCTGACTGCTTCCCTTTCCTTGGTCTGCTAAATGGGGAAGAACTCTGGGTTTTTGGCCGGTGCTGGCACACAGTGACATAAGGCTTTTGTTTGTTTTGCTACAGCCTCACATTAGAAATCACACTCCTGCTTCTGCAATTTGTTCTAGGATTTCCTGGTTGCAGGCGCCGCATCTGGGTTCAGCAGCTCCATCCTTGTGCTGGCTCTCATGGGAAGATGCTGCTCAGTGCCTGTGCTGCAGTTTCTGGTTGTGCAAGAGACACAGAACATGCTAGTCCTGTGCTTTGAGGGCAGTGCTCGTCTACTTGCACCACTGGCATCTCTGCCTTGTGATTTCTGCCTTGTGATGTAGCCTCTTACTGTACTAATTCCTACAGGCTGACACACTTGGCCTGAAAGCAGACCTTTTTCCCCACTTACTTCTGAAGTCATCATCTGTCTGCTTGCACCAGTGCTAGTGTGCCAGGGAAGGTCTCAGATGCAGGAACAGAAGGAACCCAGTTGTAACTATTTCTTTTTTCATCTCCGCAATCTTCATTCCTACCACACCAGCTTTTACCAGAATCTGCTGTGTTTTATTAAGAAAGAAGTGGGCAGTGCTGGGTGGCTCCAGACGTGGAGGTGGTAGCTGAGTGTGGTTGGGGAGGGGAACTTCCCTGTGCCTGCAGCTTTGGCTGCTTGGCTGCCCTGCCATGCACAGCAGGTGGTGGATAGCCCCGAAGGGAAAAGGATGCTCTGTGAAAGAAAGAGGGAACAGAGCTTAAACCACATCTGCTGTGTTTTTCTTTTCTGTCATGTCAAGTTTTGCTATCTTTGTTTTTTTTTGTTTCTTTTTTATTTGGGCAATAAGTGCAGGTGTACATCACTGCCTGGAAATGCAGAAAGATTTCTTTTGTTGTTAGTGTTACAGGGCTGTGTCTCTTTTCTTTCCCTCTTTGCATCCTCCCCATCTTGGGCAGAAGTACGTACTGTGTGCCCATTACTACTTCTCAGCAACCAGCAGATGTGGTTCAGGCATCTCAAGATCCTCTGCCTGAGTAAGGAAAAAGGAAACCTCTAGTTTGTGGTGTACCTTTCCAGTCCTAGCCCATACGCATCACCAGGTGAAAGCTCTCTGCCCATGAAATGCTTTGGCTTTGATGAGAAATTATACAGACACTGCAGACATTTTGTAATAAGCCAAACCCAACTGGGGGGCCTCCTCTGCTCTCCTCCTTTCTCTGGGTTAAGCCGCTAAGCTGGGCATGTTCCATTTGCTCTCATCGCACGGCTTAGCATGAAGAAATTAGGGGTCATCAGGTCAGCTCTCTTTGCTTCCATCATGTGGGGCAGCCTGGAGAGATGTAAGGTCCAGGGCAGCAGGGCTTGGGGCTGGAGGGATTAAGAGGATTCCTTCTGCTCCTCCCCGTGCTGCTGGGCAATTGGGAAGGACTGGAAGGGCATGCAAATTTGTGGCGGCCCTTGCTGGTGAGAGGGAGCATCCCCATGAGTCTCCTGAAATCTCACTCTTTCTCCACCCTTCCCCAGCCTTTCTCTTCTGCTTCCTCTCTGTATTTATTTCTTTTTAAACCTGGTTTCTGTTCCACTCTGCAGTGCACTGCTGAGATGTGTGCTGTGTTCCTTCGAGTGTATGCCTTTCCCATCCTGCTCCATGCCAAAGGTAGAGAGCTGAAGACCTAAAATAGCATAAGAAACTTGCACTCAGCTCCTGCCTTCCCCTCCTAGGAGCTCTTTTCCCTTTTGCACAAACCAAATGGTACCTCCTCCTCTCACCCTGGACTTCTCTCTTAGGTGCCAGGTCTGGGCTGGATCCTTAAGGATCTCCCCAAGGCTGTGCTCCAGCAGTGCAAGGGGATTCCCCAAGGACCATACGTGCTTGGGGAACACTCATATGTGTCACCTATATGTGTGCTGGGCACTCGCTTAGGGGTTTTTCTGTTTCCAACCCCATCTGTTCTGATGCTTGCAGAAGGGCTTGGGCCAGTTTTGTCAGCCCCAAACAGTCACAGCTTGGGAGAAGCCATCAGAAACTGATGGATTTGGGGTTTTGTCCTTGATGGATTGAGCTCTGTTTCTCCAAAAGTCCCATTCCATGCACAGGAGCAAAATGCCTGCTTTTCTTACCCCTCCTTTCCCCCCACCCAGGCCCTCAGTGCTGTTGCAGCCCTTCCCAACCCTGGCAGGGATCCCTTCAAGGACCTGACTGCACAGAGTGCTGCTGTTCCAACCGCTTTTCACTTGGTGTTTCTCCTTGCCCTCGAACAGGCCTTTTGCAACCATTAGTGCATGTTAATGAGGCATTAAATGCCATGGCAGAATTAAAAGAATACAGCAGTGACGCTTACTACATCTTTGTGGGAGCCAGAGCTCTGCCTGGGGTCTCTCTTAAAGCAGCAGCAAGAAGTGTCATCTGATGGCACAGCCTGACCCCATGTGCAGGCGCAGCTGCTCCAGAGACTACAGACTCCAGAAAGCCCCCAAAATATGAATGATACAGACTTGGAAAGCAAGCTATGCTGAGCATGTGCTCCTCAAAGGGAGATGATGGTGTGGGGTGGTCTTGCCTGAATGCTTTGCCTTTATGACTGGTTCCTTTGGTGCCTGGATTTGACCTTTCTGATTACACTAATTAACAGAAAGAAGTGGTTGGAAATGAATGCTGTGTTTTGGGTTGAGAAGCTAACAGTCTAAAGCAAGCTGGTGAATGAAATTGTGTTTCTTATTGGCATGCATAGACAGCCCCTGAATTTTGCTCACTTTAGAATACCAAACATGAGACCTAAGAGTGCTGCGCAGCTGTGGATTCTTTCTCTTTTCCTATATCTTATTTTGAATGAAATTCTGACTTCTTTCAGCTTCTTTGGGAAGGGAGAAATCCATCCCCAAACCATGGACCTTTGGTGAACTTGCACCAGATTATGTGTTTGAATCCAAATGCGGAACTGGGCAAGGCTCCCGCAGCACTGGATTCTGCAGTGAAAGAATGTCTCTTTGCTCTGGGGACCACTCCTTGTAATGAGGTCCAGCTGAAAGGACATTCAGCACATTTGTTCCTCGGTAGGCTGGGAGTTAGCCTGCTTTTCATTTTAAGGATGGGCTTGAACCATAGAATTTGACCCTAGAGTTCAGGCATTTGGGATCCTGCAGCTTTGTTTTGGAGCCAGGCTTTATTTTAAGAATAAATCTAAGGGAACTAGGTGTTTTTTTACGTGTGCTTTCTGAAATCCATCCCTGCTGACCTGCCATGCTGCTCCTGCAGAGATGGATCAAGGAGTATGGAAGTGGGGGTGATGGATGCCCTGTCCCCAATGACACTCAATGTCAGGCTGGATGGGGCTCTGAGCACCTGGTTGAGCTGTAGGTGTCCCTTCTCATTGCTGGGGGGTTGGACCAGATGGCCTTTAAGGGTCCCTTTCAACTCAAAGGATTCTATAAGTGGGGGAGAAGCTCCTGGTTGTGGGTCCATGGATCATCACTTGCAGCAAGGAAGCTTTGGTAATAGAAATTATCAGGAATTGTTTTTTCAATGCCTCCCATGCCAAGCTCCTAAGAGGTGATGAAGCCATGGATAAGCATGTACTCAGTTTGGCTGGGTTACTTCAACCCAGAGCAGTACTGGAACCACTACACCCATCCCAGTTTCATCCCCTCAGGTCTGGGAGCCCCACATCACTCCTGGCAGCTGTAGCAGAGTTGGCAGTGGAACCTGAAAGCTCCCAATTCCCAGCTATGGGTCCCCCTCCAGAAAGCCACATGGGGCTGAGGAGCTCATGTAAGCAGAAGTCAGGAAATCTGTGGAACTCTGAGATTTCTTAACCAGAAAAAAAAAAAAAAAAAAAAAAAAAAAAGGCTTTATTTTAAGAAATGCAGAAATGATACGTCAAAAAGCCAAAATGGGCAGCAAGGACTCATCTTGTGACTACATTTCAGTTGCACTTCTGCAAGGGAGAGGAGAAAGATGAGGGAAGGCTGGCAGGGCTCTGCAGGAAATCCGCTCTGCCCCAGCTCACCAAAGTGAGCATGCAGTTCCCAGAGCCCTGAGCTCCCTGCCCAGTTCCTGTTTAACCCGAAAGCTCCCAAGTGAGGGAGAAATGGGAAGGATGAGGGGGGTGAGGACTTTTGTCATTGGGATGTTGATGGTAACATGGAGTTGGTGATGCAGCTCGTGTTGCCCAGGGCTGAAGTCACAGCTCAGGCATGGATTTCTTCTTCCAGTTTTGCTTTTATTGGTCTGCGTTGCTGATGCTATTTTCAGTGGTGGAACTGTGAGCTCTGCCAGTGCTAGGGTTGAGTAAAGCATTATTTAAAGCCTCTTCGATTCGTGGCCAAAACCCCTATGCTTTGAGATATAAATATCTGCTCACATTAATGCAGCGGCAGGATGCACAAGTCTGTGGTGTCTTGTGTAATTAGCATACAGAAAGGCTCTTTTTCCCTGTTATCTGCCTTTTAGTGCTTGGTTTGTTGTTTCAGTGCTGTGCTGTGGGTAGATGAGCATGGGCGAGTGCTCTTCTGGCACGAGTGGAGGCAGTCGGTGGACACATTGCAGTTTACGCAGAGACTTCAGTGCCCTTTTGCAGCAAGGACACTGGGCTGGGGTGCTCCTGCAGGACAAGGGAACACTTCCCATCCCCACTTCATTAACTTTCCTGAGTCCTCCCTGCCTGCCAGTGCCAAGCATCTGGCAGCGCAGTGCTCATCAGCCTACGGCTCCTTTGAGTCATGGAAAGAGATTAGTGGCAATCCAGATGATTTATTTGCTTAAGCAGGCACTGCGTCGTACCAGAACCCTTTCCCAAACGGAAAGTTTCCAGACTCTCCCAGCCTCTTCTGCTGTCCTTCTCCCACCCATGCAAACTGTGCAGGACCAGAAGCTCCAATCCTGCACTCGCACAACAGGGCCGGTCCATCAGTGCCTCATGTCTGGGCTTTGGCTGCTCCCTCTGCTGTAGGCAGATATTTTTGGTGCCTTCAACTCTGGGGAATGCAAACAACACATAGAGCAGCAGGAGCAGCGGTCAGGGCTCAGCACTCTGTGTAAGGGATTGCGCTGGTGAGGCTGCATTGCTTGGACATGCTTGCTCATTTTAACTGGGTCCTGCCCCAGCTCTCCTCTTGTTTTGTTGTGGTATTGTTGGTTGTTCTTTTCTTTTTAGAGCAGTCATGCAGGTATAAGGTCAAAAATGACAACAGCAGGTGCACAGAATTTGGGAGGTGTTACCCCTAACAATTAAAGGTTTACTGGTAAGTACATTACCAAAGTCAGAGGGAGCTTGTCATTTCCCAGCTGGATGGGGATCTTTTGAATGTCTCACATCCTCTCATTTCAAGGATGGGAACAGAAGAAAACATCTTGTTATGTTTGGAGCACATCATGAATGTATTTTGGCTTCGCAAAACCGCTCTAATAGAGACCATGCAAATCCAAATGGTTAAAGGCTGTGCTGATGTCCTGCACAGTGTGTGCTGCAGGAGCAGGGGAGGGGGCTGGAGCACACCCTCCTCAGTAGTCTGGCTGTGTTTTCTTCTCAAAAATGAATCTGGGAAGCAGGGTTCATCTTGGGAGTGAATTCCCATCTCTGGGGCTCTGGGTGTACTTTGAGAAGCAGATCTGCTCCTGCTATGCCCCCATGAGGCATAAATGTGTCCCACCTAGCCTTCAGGCCATGCTGGATGGGAGATTCGGAGCACCACAAATGGAGCTCTCAGTGCTTGCAAAAGTGGCTGCTCTTTCAGGCTGGCGCAGGCAGATGGTAATGTCTTTGCTGCTAAAGGTCAACATGGAAATTCCCACTCTTGGCTTGTTCCCCATGGCGAGCTTCTTGCACTTTTAACCAGTGTGGCGAGGCAGAAAACACATGTCAACATATTTTTGAATTTCAGTCTCACAACCCAAGCTTAGTCACCTTCATATAGAAAGGCTGCTCTACTGCAGCAACCAAAGCCATTTTCTCCAAGAGGCTGTTTCTTCACTTTTCTGGTTGCAGTGCTAGAATAGGATACACATTTGGAAGCAGTTGTTTCCCTTCCCCGTCTCAGTCTGTCGGGCTCCATTTCAGCACCCCAGTGCTGGAAGGGATGCATAGGATCTCTGCCCTCCTGGACTGACCTGGCACCAACTGCTTGCAAATACTGAGCCATTTCATGAGCAGCAAGACTTCTAGAGGTGGATTTCTTGCAGATTTGCATCTTGTGCTGGGCTCTGTGGTATCCAAGGGGATTGAGCTGAAGTTAATGATGCAGGGCTGCTTTTCCTAGCACTCCAGACAGGACCTTGGGTGGTGTGAACGCATCAGATTTAGGCAGAGGAAGTAACCTTCAGAGGTCTTATAAACACAGCCTCCTCCCTCTAGTAATGTCTGAGCATAAGGGTTGGCTCCAAAGCAAATGGTAGGAGCACAGAAGAGGCTGCTGGGATGAACAAGAAACCCACAGAGCAGAAGGTGCTCCCAGGACTTCTGGCAAGGGGCACAGCTTGATGCTTCATGGTCCCTCTGGTGTTCTCAGGATGATGGGAGAGGCAGAGCTATCAGTGGTTTAGTGCTGATGAGAAGAGCATGTATATAGTTTATATTCTCTCAGCTACTTGAGGCTGTTTCCAGCGGGAAAGCTGAGCTGTAATTAGGTTGCTGATGAGCCTTGTGGAGAAATCACGCCTTCAAAAGCATCCTTGCTGCTCAGGATCAACCACAGAGGAATTCAAGCAGTATTTCCAGTGAGCTGATGGATGCTGTTCCAAAACCAGCTGCTGGGCAGCCAGCCATGGCACTTACTGTAATTGAAAGCCTTTAAGCCTGTTGATTTTCTCAGGCTGGCCCTTAATGCCAGCTCTGCAAGGGGATGCTCTGGCAGGGGAGGACCCTCACAGAGACACCAGTGTCACACAGCACTGCTCTGATCACTGCTGATGACCTTCCTGCTGCTCTGTCCCCTAGGCCATGGGGAATGTCACTGTGGGGAGTGCAAGTGCCACACGGGCTACATCGGGGACAACTGCAACTGTTCCACCGAGACCGCCGGCTGCGTCTCCAGTGATGGGCAGATGTGCAGCGGCCGCGGCAACTGCATCTGTGGGAGGTGCCAGTGCACCGAGCCTGGGGCGTTCGGGGAGACCTGTGAGAAGTGTCCCACCTGCCCAGGGGTCTGCAGCACCAAAAGGTATGCGTGGGGCTTCAGGAGGGACTTCTCAATGAGGGGAGAGGGATTCTTTGGTTCCTGGGAGATTCCTGCCCACCCAGGTAGACAAGGTCCCTAGCATCCTGGCCAGCTGGGTTTGTACTGTCACCTCTCCTCTGACAGTGTTGCAGGCACTGAGTATATGCATAGAGCAACAAGTGTTGCTGTCCACGTTCTCATGGAGGTTCATGGCCCCTTTCATTTTAGTGCTGCTTTGCTCTGTAGGCTGGCAGCCCAGATTTGCTGAGCTGAACATTTCTGGGCTCAAGTAGCTGTGAGATGTAAAGAAGGGGCTGGCTGACACTTTGCAGAGGACGTGTCCTGGACACCAGCATCTGGCCACGCTTCTGCCTTGATCATAGACAGGAGGGATTTTGCAGTAACTGATATGCAGCTTCCTACATCCAAAGGGCAAACAGTCTCCAGACCTACAGCTGGAGACTATTCTTCACTGAATCCACCTTTGAAACAAATCCGTCCTTGTAATGAGAATGGTTGACCCTGAAGCTTCTCTTTCCCACCCTCTTTCTGTACTCAGTCTTTCTCTCTGTGTGTCTTTTTGAAGGGACTGCATTGAATGCAAGCTGTTTAACTCAGGAAGACTGGATAACCAAACCTGCCAAAAGCACTGCAAGGATGAGCTCATCACCACTGTGGATGTTCTCAGTAAGTACACAGCTGAATCATAGAATCATAGAATCATTAAGGTTGGAAAAAAAAGGCAAAGGTGATCTAGTTCAACTATCACAACTGTCAAATCATCCTTACCATGCACATTAACCCAGGTGCCACATCTCCATGGCTCTTGAACACCTTCAGGGACACCTCCATCATCTTCCTGAGCAGACTGTGCCACTGCATCAGCACTCTTTTGGAGAAGAAATTTTTCATAATTTCCAACCCAAACCTCCCTTGGTGCAATATTAGGCAATTACCTCTCATCCTATCACTGTTACCTGGGAGAAGAGGTATGCCCCACCATGGCATAGCCTGCTTTCTGAGAGTTGTAGAGAGCCTCCTCTTCTTCAACCTGAACAATCCCATTCCCTCACCCACTCCCCGTAAGACTAATGCTCCAGGCCCAGCAAGCAATACCCAGTAACCAACTGCTCTCAGCAAGACCAAGGCATATCTGTAAGGAAAGCCTCAGGTTTCTAAATAGTATTTAGAAAGCATAATGTATGACCCTTTATGTAGGCTGTAATTTGTATTGCTTTGAGCGTTTGTTAGCAACTCAATTGGTGTTGTGTTTGTATTTCTGGATTAGCTATAGTCTCAATGCTAAGTAAAACATCCTTGAATTTAAATAGCATCTTAAAATCTGGATTCAAGCAGCCGTACATAATGTTTCCTCATTGCCTTTTGGAAGGAAGCATGTTAATTTCATTTAATGAAGTCATTTAGAAAAAATTTGAAAGAAATAATGAGTTTTATGAATTGGACATATGGATTGTTGTAGACGTGAGATGCTAATTGCTGTAAGGTTAGCCATTAGTACATCCCTCTGGGCATGCATTTGCTATGTGCAGCTGTGACTGCCTTTCTGAGCTCACAGCTACATGAAGTCTGCCCAGGCCTGTCCAAAAAATTTGTTTCTTCACCACACCTGAGCAGGTCCAGGGCTGGTGTGTGTAAGGCCCGCTGTGGTCATTGCAAGAGAGCAGGATAAGATCAGGAGACAGGAGAGATTAGATGAGCTGTGAGAGAGTGTAAAGGGACAAAATGTCTCCCAAAAAAGGCATTCTCTAATCTCCCTGAGAATTCATCTGGGAAGAAGTATCCCCTGTCCTGCTCGTTGTGTCCTCTTCTGAAGGTCATTCCATACCACGTCCCTCAACAGATACCTTTTCCCCCTTTTCAAGCTTCACTCTGGCAGTCCCTAGTTACTCTTTTACAGGATGAAGGAGACCGAAACAGTGAAAGCTTCAGTCTCAATCCTGACCTTGACCTTGTCAACAGCCCTTGGAGTTGGGGCAGAGAGGCCAGTGCTTCTGGATCAAGCAGGGATGGCCATCCATGTCTGACATTTCTTACTTCTCCTCCATAGTTCATAGGGTATACAAGTGCTCTACCTTGCTCATTCTTTCTCTCAATTAACAACCAGTATGGTTTCCTACCTTCTCCTTTGTGCGGCTTGCTCTTGCTCTCCCCATCCTCACTGCAGCTTGCTGGAGAGTGAACCTGTCCCAGCGCACTGTGAAAGGTTACAAGGCCATCTTAAATGCTTCCGACCCACATGAAGCTCCTTTCTGATGCCCGGCTGCCCCATGTTTCTAAGAAGCCAGCACATACAGGGGATTAAATCTTAACTCCTCTGCCTGCCTATTGCACAACTCCAGAGCTAGCCTTCATGCTGGCTGCGTCCTGGGAGGTGAGACTGGGCTGTGGTTGGCCAATCCCCTACTGCTTTCAGAGGAAAACAGCCAAATCTCTGTTTTAAGATGTGTTGGGGAATTATACTTATTCTTCTGTTGTGCTGCCACAGTCTGATCCTGGGTGGTGCTGAGATTTGAGAGCTCGGAACTTGGAAATCTGGGCTGCAAAATATTCCTAGAGAAAGAGCACAGGGACTCACAGGCAGACCCAGCCAAATCCTCATCCTCAAGTGTTTCTGTGATGCAGCATGTGTTAGAAATCCCCGCTGAAAGGCTGAATGCTGGTATTCATCACCGGCAGAAAGAAGACACAGATTTGCACTGTCACAGCAGTGGAGCAGTGAGCACTGCTGGGATGTCCTAGGTGCCTTCTGGCTGTAGGCTTGAACCACAGAACCATGGAACCATTTAGTCAGAAGACCCTTAAGAGCAGCAAGTCCAACTACTACCCATGACTAAACCATGTCCCTAAGCACCACATCCACACTGCTCTTAAATATCACCAGGGATGACAACTCTACCACTTCCCCGAGCAGCCTGTTCCAACACTCTGACACCTAGTAAAGGCCAACAAGAGTCGTTACTATTGAAACTTTAATTGCTCTATCTTTTAGCAGAATATTGGTGCAAGGCTGGGGCTGGAAGCAGTGGGGCCTGAAGGAGCCAAGTTATCTGCTTGATAGCATATAGGGGCATTAGTCAAGAAACTCACAAGTGTTATCTGTATCAACCTAACTGACGTAATTAATCTCCAGCCCTGCCTTTGGTGCCACAGGTGCAGGTAGAGTGGATGTTTATGTCCTGAGGCAGAAGCAGCTGAAGGCTGTCTGCAGCAGTGAGTCCACTGGGCTCCAAGCTGTTGAAATGGAGGGTATTAATCTCCCTGCTGAAGGTAGGTCAAAGGCATTGAAAGGAAAGACAAACAGAAGGGAGAAAGATAGGAAAGATAAATAGAAGGGAGAAAGGGCTGGGATAGCGGTGGTCATTAATGCCATCATTTCTCAGTGTGACAGTCAGACACAGATGCTAGTGACAGGCAGGGTATTTTCCAGGTGCCAGAACCTCAGCTGTGTCTTGAAGACCAATAGGACAAAGTGGCCCAGATGCCTTTCTTGGAAATGCTATCCCATAAAGGCAAGAGGTGCTCTGCAGGGCTCCCTGGCATGGCTGGAGGTGCTGCCCTGCAGGGGATGTTTCCAGGAGCGGGGCAGTGCAGGAAGGGCTGAAGACACACATCTCTGGGAATTAATTTATCTCCTTTCTTGCAGCCACCCCATTTCCACTTTCACATGAAGCAAAATCAAAGTGTGCTGATGATTTCCAGGGGCAGTTTTTGTTCTCTGTGTTCCTCCATTCCTAGGGTGCTCACCTTGCTAATTCCCCATTTTGCTCAGACCATTTCCTTGTTCCATCAGCCACTCTCAGAGTGCCTTGCAGCAGGACCAGGGGCAGCTGCAAATCAAAGGTACCATGGTGGAGGCTTTTAGGCTTTTCCTAATGCTTTGCATTCTCCCTTCCCCCACATGATGCTGTTTCAGCTCTCCCCGCTGCTGGGGCTGGGCCATAATGTGCACCATATGTAGGACAGGAAGCCCCTTGTATGGGAAGGAATGCACAGTCCCCAGCATGACAGGGCTCCTGAATAGCTGGGGCTGGCTCTGATGCTGGGCCTCTGGGTGGAAACGAGCCTCTCCGAAGCACCTGGCTGAGAATGAAGGTGCTTTGACATATTGGGTGTGCTGTGCAAGTCACCAAGTTGCCCTTATTATTTCAGAAACGGATGACCCCAACGCAATCCTGTGTGCCTACCCGGTGAACAACTGTGTCATGAAGTTCACCTACTCGGAGCTTGCCAATGGGAAGTCCAACCTCACCGTCCTCAAGGAGCCAGGTTTGTGCCTCCTTCATTTTCCTTGCTGACAGCATGAGAGGTGACAAGGCTGCACACAGGTGCAAAAGAACTGAGCTGATTGAACAGGGCTGAAACACAGAGCCAGGTGCTTCCAGTGTGGTTAATGAAAGGCTTCTAAGAGTGTGACGTGCACCTGAGCTGCCAGCATTACTAGCAGGTGGCCCAAGAGCTTTCTGCCAGATCAGGTTGCTGAAATTAAATACAGCCTGCTCAGGAAGCAGCAAGTATGCCATGCCCTGGTTTGGAGACAGAGCCACTGGGAGGAGAAACATGAGGTGGGAAAACCACTGCTACTGCTCTAAAGTGAGGCTGCTAGGCATACCCCCACAAGTCCTGTGGATTTCTGCTTTTCCATTAATCAGCTCTGTTCCCAGCAGTGCAGTCCCTGTGTCCCAGCCCCCCCGGAACATCTGTCCCCTGCGTATTGCTTTCATCCCATGCAGAGCATGTTTCTCAGAGGAAACCCCATGTGGCATTGCAGGAAGAGCTGGCAAACACCCAGTGAGAGTTTGTCATGCTCTGCTTGGGTCCTCTTGAGGACACAGGCCAGAATGGGAAGTCCCAAGGGAGGCACATTTTATTTCAATGAGGCTGCAGCTTGCACTTAATTGAAAGACCAGTTGATTAAGTTAAGGCAGTTAAGATCCCTTCCTTTATGGAGAGGACTACTGTTGTTTTTTTTTAATTCAGTCCTTGCTGCCAGTGCTGCCCCCAAAGCCACTTGCTCAGCTGCGCTCCTGTTACCCTGATCTGGGATGCACCTGTGCCAGAGCTGATTTCTTTCTCCCCCTCCTTTCCAGCATGCAGCTCAGCCCCCAGCGCTGTGACCATCGTGCTAGCTGTCATTGGCAGTGTGGTGCTGATTGGCACCATCCTGCTGGGTCTCTGGAAGCTGCTCGTCACCATTCATGACAGGAGGGAGTTTGACCGATTCCAGAGCGAACGCACCCGGGCGAGATATGAAATGGTGAGCACTGGGGGGCTGCTGGGTGTGCCCTTGGCAATGCAGCAAACAACTGCAGTAATGGAAAACAGAGAGGTGAAGGTGTGTGCTGTGCTTTTGGGAACATCAGGTGGACAGGTCTATGAGGAAGCATTCTGGGGAGGCTTCCTGGCCATAGGGTTGCTCAGCATTTCAGGGCATCAGATGGGACATTGGGTAGGGCCTATCAAAGCCAAATCCATAGTTACATGTAGAGCAGAAAGGGGAGGATGGAAGAGGCTGTCCACAGAGCTGTGCATGTCCCACACCCAGAGGTGCTCTGGGTTGGATGAGGCTTGCAGCAAATTGGTCTACTGGGAGGTGATCCTAGCCATGGAACCAGATAGGCATTGAGATCCCTTCACAACCAACCATTCTATGACTCTGTGAGATTACACATAGCTTTGCCATGACACAGATTTTGTTCCTTACTTTTCTTCTTTATCCATTTTCCCAAAGGCATCCAATCCTCTCTACCGAAAGCCCATTTCTACGCATAATGTAGAGTTCACATTCAACAAGCTCAACAAATCTTACAATGGTACAGTTGACTGATCAGGTCTCAGCACGAGGGACCGCTGTGGACAATTGCTTGACTGTATTTGCTGCTTCTCAACTTGAAGATGGGATCCTCTTCAGGGAAGAAAATACTTTACAACAGGACTGGTCGATGACACGAGCCTGTTATTTGCACAGTAAGGAGAAAAGCAGCGTGTGCTGTCTGATCTGGGACATGCCGATGCCATGGCAGGCTCACCAGTTGTGCTTGTGGATTCTGAGCCCTGTGACTCCACAGCCCAGGTTTCTGGATCTATGAAACCTGCCAACGAAGAGAACCAAGTGCCACATTGCAGCTTTAGACATATCCCATCCCACTATAAAGGGTGAGTAGGCCAAAATCAGGGGAAGTCACGGCATTGCAGGTTGGGAGGGGGGGAATTAGCTTAAAAAGAGGAGGGTGTTGGAAGCATTTGTGTAAGAAATTAGGATACATGAGTTCTGCAGTCTTTAGAATTTTTTTTTTATATAAAAACAAAATAAAACTATTGTGCATATATGATGCTGCAAGTGGAGTTTGTTGAGCTTAATGAGCCCCACACCAACAGATTGACTGACCTGAGACGCATTCTGCTGCCAGCACACCATGTGCTGCCTTCTTTCTTTATCAGCAGTGTCTTATCAACCCAAGCACTGCAGCCAGGAGCCGTGGTGACACTGCACAAGGTATGTTGACTTAATGCTGTAGTGTTGACTGAGGGCGGTGACTGCCAGAAGCAGTTCATGTTTCGTGTGGTGTTGTTTAAACAGCAGGGAGGCTGGGGGAAGCCCCAGGGACATGGGAGTTTGGTCAGAGGAAATGTTAAACAGCAAGCACCACTCCTGGGGCTTCACAAGCAGGCATGCAGCCTGTAGGTTAGCAGCTGCCAGCACAGCATGCCAGCCTCACAACAGCCTTTGAGGGCTGCACAGCTGAGGTTTTAACACAGAATAAAGCTGGAAGGTCCAGATAGGTTGCTGGTTGAATCTAGTGTTGTTTCCCCCCCCGAAATGTTCCCCCACCCCATGTTTTCCTCTGGAGCTGAGGTTTAAGTTACCCCAGATGACAGCTGCAGCATTAAACCCCTCCAAGCTCTGCCTTGGGACTGCAGCAGAAGGCCAGAGAGAAGCCAGAGCTACTGCTTTGCTTTTTTTTTTTTTTTTCCTTGTCTCTTTACCCTGAACAGACCATGCAATAGTCAGCTGAAGGAAGCTTGCCAGGGAAAAGCAAAAACAAATGGTGCTCGTTGTTTTGACTTGCTTTTCTCACTGGAAAACAGCCATGAACCCATCCTTCCGGATTTTTTTTTTTATGTATTTGTTTTTGCCTCTATAAACAGGAGCTCCTACTTGCTCTGTACAAACAGCTCTCCTTCGAGAAGATTATGGGCCCCCTCCTCCTGCCAGTAGCACTGCAGGAACACAACAAACCCCACTAAAAATAGCTCAGAATGGGAATTGGTAAGAGTGCAGCAAGTTGCACACCATCGGCATGGGATCAGGTGTTCTTAAAAAAGAACAGAACAAAAACCAAAACAGTGCTGTCTTTACGCTTGATTTTTTAATTCAGAATCCAGCAAATCCTTTGGATGATCTCCAAATCAGACCAAGCAAAGGCTGCCTGAAGTCGCACGAATGCTCCAGGGTACAGAATGATGCTGAGGTTGGCATGGGAGCAGGAAGAGCAGAGCTGCCCAAGGCACACCATGGCTGTGCACCACTGTTCTGCATGTGCCTGTCCCTGCAATTTCACAAGAAATAGGAAAGGTCTGAGCACAGCCAAGGGCAGCAGCAGCTGCGATGGTGGCCAGCTGGCTACAGGAGCCAGTAATCTCATAGGAGCACAGCAGCTCTTCAGGGGAAGCTAGTGCTAACTGCGCATTTCCTACCTGGTGCTTAAGTACAAGGCCAAGCTCTACATCCAAGAAGACTCATCTTACATAGGGCACAGGTTGTCTCTTATAAATCAGCTTTAGCTTGGTTCATTTCATTGCCACACACAAAGCATAAAGTGACCCAGGCAAGGAAAGGGCAGCAGGAAGGAAAGTGGTGGGAAAGAAAGGAAGGGCAGCAACTTTCTGACCTTGCTTTGCTACCTGGACCAGCCAATGCTGTGAATGCGGCTCTGCTACAGTTGCATCAAAAAAGGAAAGGCCAGCCCATGCCCCCTTTTCCAGTCTTTCTTTTTCAGATTATCTTCAAGCTGTGGCATTTCCCAGAACATCAGCTTGGTATTGAGAGCACAGGCAATAGTAGCAGCTCTAGGAAGAGAAGCTAGGCTCACCATGAAGGAGTTGTTTGGGTAGAGCAAGGGTTGGGCTTCTAGATCAAGTTTGCTTTGTATTTCTTCTAATATCAGAACCATTATACAACTAGTTAATTGCTTCTTTCTAGTTTTTATCAGCTCTCCTTCCAGGTTTGACTTCTCCATAAGACTGCACATTAAAAAAGAAACACATAAGGAAGTGGTGCTTAGACTAGGAAGGTTTTACTTTACTGTATAAGCACATCTGCCTTTACCCTTGGAGCAGTTAGTGCCAAGCTCAGTCATGGGAATGGTGTATTTCAGTCAGCAGCAGTTTATTTGTGTCCCTAAATACACAGCCTGACCACAGCTAGCATTCCTGAATGAAAGCTAAAGCAGAAGGCAGCAGCAGATCACATGTGATGGAAAACATCAGCATTTGTCTGGCCAAATTGGAGTCCGGATGCCATTGCAACATCAGGTCCTCGTGTTCCTGCAGCCAGAGCTGGAGGCTGCTGTGCAGCCCTGGCCTGGGGGCTCACCTGCTCTCTCATCAGTGTATTTCCTTATACTGCAGGTATTTCTGGGACTGGGTGTTGGGAAAGGCCAATCACAACCTCCACTGCACACTCCATTAGCGGTGGTGCCCTCTGCACAACAGAAACATCTCACTTTGGATCTAAAACAATACCTGTCAGCACAGCAGAAATGATCAGGCTTCCTTCTCCTTTCTGCACTGGCCAGCTCCTCACATCACGCTGCATTTTTCACAGCCTGACCATGGACAAGCTAATGAGAAAAAGGTCAGAGCAGGACACAGGTCCAGAGCATCACAAATGAGGAGTAAGTCAGCCCAAACCCACAGACAGGATTACTGCTATTAGCCTTCAAGAATCTGCCCTAAGGGGCTGAGAGAAAGCTGAAGCTTGAGCAGGCACCAAACTGGGCTGTAATTTGTTGCAGTTAGATCATGGAGCTGTACTCGTCACTGTGGCACAGCCCAACCATGACCTAACAGCTATTAGAAACAAACAGAACGCCCAGCCCTGTCTGTCTGTTCAACTACAAATCTTCCAAAACAGAACATTTCCCCAAATTGGTGACTACGGAACTCAGAAATGGAAACAAACTTCCTCTGGGTTACTGCACATTCCTTTGGTCCTTACTGTTTCCTAAAAGCAATGCTCATGGCGCCTGCTGAAAGCCTACTGCCTACTGAACAGCCTTCCACATCCTTTTAAGGGGAAGTGATTAATTTATTTTTTCTGGAATTAGGTCTTGAATAACCGTTCATGAAATTGTTTATGGAAACAAAAATATGAGCTGTCAACTACTGGCTGATAAAACAACATTGAAACTGTGACATTTGATCAGACCAGAGAATGAACTGCAAGACTTCCAGAATCATATATTATAATGCAAATGAGTTTTGTAAATTGTGACCTAGTTCCCATGTTAGAAGCAGTTGGGACCAACAGCAGGAACTATGCTGTGAATGAAGCAGGGGGGGAAGCAAGCAAATTAATGTTCGTTCTTAATTTGAAATGGATTTTTAAGCATGTTCAGGTGCCACAAAAAAGAGGCCCACAGGCTTGTTTGCTATATTCACTCTGACACAAGAAAGCTTGTAGGAGGTAGGCAAACGTTACTTTGTTTTGCTAATTGAAATGTTTGACTGGTGTCAAATGAAGCACCAGAATACTACTTGCTGTGACTGAGCACACGGTGGAGAATGGTGAACTGAAGCTTTCCAATCTGATGCTCAGAACCTTTACTCCAATATCTTAGATGGTGACTAGCTATTAGACAATGGCAATCTCTCAGTTTAGTTGCTGTTTCTTTCTCCTGATAAAGTAGCTCTTGGGTCTTTTCAAGGTTTTAGCTGTGCAAATATCAGACACTTACTTGGTGCAATTCAGCACAGTTAGTGGGAAACACCAGACTGTTTCTGTGGAACCCTGCTGGTGCTCCAGCAGTGACCACTCCACCCCAAGCAGTTCTGCCTACTGAACCCTACAGTGTCAAGTTGTGGCCTCAGGTGAGGGAGTAACCTGTTGAAAAGCTTAAGTATATCTAGAGCTAAGTATATCTAGAGATGGTATCGTCAGCAGAAACTATTAGTTATGGAAAGGGTGGGCATTGACTCCCCTGAAAAATAGGGTCTCAGCTCCATCTGGTGGACAAAGCAGTTTTCTACAAAGCAGTTAAAGTGAGGAAACCCGGCTTCTGCTACCTCGAGGCCATCAGGCTGTTAATGAAAAGCAGTAAACAAATCCCAAAACCTCTGTCCACTTTAAAGGTCTGAAACTTCTTGGAAGTTGATGCAAAATATCAGACTACTGCAGGCAGCTCATAAGAGCCAACACACTCACTGAGTTCAGTGGTGAAAGGTAGCCAGGATAGCCTTCATCTTTCCTGGATGGACTTCTCCATGTTAATGTGGTACCTAAGAAGAATCCTGAACCAACCAAGGAAAAACAGAACATATGCAGAGTAAATTCTAATATCCTCTCCTAAGTAACGCATTTATAAGCTCCGTAAGAGGCACTGGGGAAACACTTCCAAAGAACATGAAATGCAAAAGGATAAGGTCATTAACCTCAGCATACCCAGACAGCTAGGAAGCTTTTCAGCCACACATTTCTGAAGTCTGACTCCCAGCAGAGCACAGGGTCACAAATACAAGAAGCATACCATAGAGCTCTCAAATCCAAGCCTGTTTCTGTTCTTAAACAAGAAGCAAAAAACCTCCATTTGAACTTCAGGATAACCCTGTTCTCCTCATTTGAAAGGCTGGGAAAAGAGTTGGTTACTATTAAAGCAAAAGAATTCTCACTGGATATAATTGTTCCTATTCTATGGGCTTTTCAAAAAGGGACCCAGTTTTCTCTGTGTTTTACCATCAGCACAGGAACAGCAATGGTCTACAACTGTATCACCATTCATCTGCCTTCTTCACACTTTCCTGTAAGCAATGAAAATTCAAGCCAATTTCCACCGTATCTATAGTGGGTGTATTTGAGGCAATCCCACCCTTTCTAATCAAAACCTTTCATACATGGTATTTCAAAGTAACACTTCTTCATAATCCCGAGGTGTGGAAAATAATTCCCAGAAGTAATCCATAAATATTTTCAGAAAAAGTCAAGCAACCAAAAGTACGCCTTTGTTTTTCATTAAATCAGTCACCACTTGCACTCAACAGCACAAAGACTTTTGTCAGAGCAGACTACAGACAGAATCCAGAGCAACGTTTACAGACGCAAACAGAGC